CCTGGTGATCCATAAAGATTCTTGGAGGGGTACACCAAGCACCTTTATACTGCAAACCCAAACCGAGGGAGCTTCGGCCGCTAATGGCGGTCACAGCAGAGCTCGTGGGGGAAGACTGCAAGCTTTGTTGATCCATTCCGTCCAATGAGGGACCAGGAGGTTCACTTTGGGTCCTCATGGCGACAACATACTCATATGTTGTAATACCCTGCATCGGATTATCACTAACGGTGGTTACTTCATGAATACGAGATAAGATGCTTTTAAGGTTGGACGTGGATGAAAAAACGAACCTTGCGAATTAGGATAATGTGGAAAAAGAAGAGTTCTCCTAGCGGAATCGTGGCTAGAAAGGAAACAACCGTACATATAGCCTGCAAAACGAACAATCAATAGTAAACTTTGTTGTATTTTGATGCATTTTGCCTTTAATATATAATAAGTGAACGAGTTACAAACATTTGAAAATACGGCGATGATTATAGTGGGTATAATGGGTTAAAGAGAGCAAACATACCACAACTGTCGCAAATGGGGCCCGACTAAATCCATCTCCAAGTCTACTCGAAATCTGGTCTTCTGTAGCCCGTTTCTCAACAAAACATCGAACAAGAACAGCAATACCAACCCCGCATTCAAAAGTCAGCTGAAATAAAAACAAGCCAATATTTGAATTAAGAACTTCGTCAAGCATCATGCATAGTGAGATACCACTTGCATAGTCTTCACGGAGACAACGGTTCTACTCTTTGGGGTCGAGGTCATATTTGCGTACATCTCACCATCCACGGACCCCACCTCCTAGTGGGCTTTACTAAGCTCGTTTGGTTTGGTTTGGTTTGGTTAGTACCATTTACAGATAAAAGCAAACCAAACAAACTCAGTATATTCCGCTTGAAGGTCGGGTGAAATACCGCAAAAAGATGTCAAATCAAAAGTTACTATCTTAATGTACCGCTTACCCAAACGAGGCTCACGGCCATTAAGCACACAAATGTGAAGTAATTTTTCCTCCCTACACAATTGTTCAACCACTGCACAAAAATGTATTAAAGATAATTAAATTACAAATTAGAAAAGCCGATCATGTGAATTTAAAGTAATGGACGAAGAAGATGCAACCAGGACTTACCCGACAATGATGATCGAACCCGTCAACACATTTATCACAACTTCTGCAGTGTTTGCTAAACTTACGCACCTACAAGCAACCAATATCGAGAAAATGCATTAATAGAAGCTACATGAAAAGGTCAAATGAATAAGACCGGTAGATCAATACCTCTGCATTGCACAATGTGCAAAATAAAGCCTCTTCTTCTCCTCCTAGTTGCATCTCTTCATCATTACGGCAATCTTCTTTGACAATACAGCCACAAACGACCCCCGCAATTTTTGAACAAACTCCTGAATTACCACTATCATATATTCCTCCATTTTGAAACCCCATCTTGCTAGGTTCTCCAACGGAAGACGTGTTTCCTGACATTATAACGACACTAGTGAGTAAATGTTCAATCATGTTCCAATGACAATCGTTCTTCTTGATGGCAACCGAGAGATATCTAGTTAGGAGCAAGTTTATTTAGGAACTGTAATTATTTTGAGAACCAAAATATCATGATATTCATTATGAATATTTGGTTCTCATGGTCATGGTTCCCAAAATATTTACGGTTCTGAAACGAACCTGCCCCCATCTAGTTCTCACTGGCAAAATTTGGGTTATTTCATAGTAATTATTTTGAGTTGCGCAATGTTTAATGTATGCTTTAGATAATTTGATTTCTTCTTACAACTATATATGTTTAGATATTGGTATCAATTGGGAATTTTTGATTGATTTCTAGGAACACGGGAACAACTCTCATAGGCAAAAGGCATTCAAACAAAATATAAGCCAAGCTACAATAACCACAGTATTCTTCGTTCTCTCTCTTTTCTTGTTGCTTGTATAGGGGTCGGTTCATTTGAGAACTGAAAATATTTTAAGAACCATGAGAACCAACTATTTATCATGAATAATGAAAATGCATGATATTCATGATATAATATTCATGAATATTTAAGAATAAAGAACCATGAGAACAAACTACTAATGATGTTCATCATGAATGATGAAAATGAATGATATTCATGAATATTTAAGAATAAAGAACCATGAGAATTATTCATGATATTCATCATGAATAATGAAAAGAAATGATATTCATTCATCATGAATAGTTGGTTCTCAAAATATTTTCGGTTCCTAAATTAACTTTCCAGTATATACATACACATGCTTCTGTATGTATTTGTACGTGTCTGTATATGCATATGACAATCAACAAAAAATAATAATAAAGTAAACCTAAAACCATTCCATATATAAACAACTAAAAATAGAAGTATACGGGAATCCATATACTAACCAGGAACTTCTGTACCATTTTGCGATCTATTTGGTGAAGCCCTTCCGGGTTCAATTAGAATGCCGGGATCAGCAGGGTCAATAGCTGTGCATCTTACGTAGAGGACAAATACACTGAGAGCCTAAAATGACAATAACACCGACAATTACTCTTAGCAAAGAACAAGAATCAGTGCATAATGTGTACATAACTGATTACAGGCCAAAAAGAATCATTTACCAAGAAGGAATAAACACCGATAGCCACGTGTTCATAGATTTCTTTTCCAAGAAAAGGTGAGAAAAACGCATAGAATGCGACTGACAACAAGAAGTATACAGTAATAGCCACAACCTGCAAATTTAGGAGGAAATTAAACAAGAAGCCAACCTCAAAAGAGAATATACGACACTCAATCATCACAAACAGGCGGTAAATCTATATGTCATATATATATATTTTCTATTATAGACACATATATTTTTTTAGTACTACCCAATGATTCAATGATTTTAAATAATTTAAACTAGTATTGTGAGATCGGTTGCGGGAGAGGAACGAAGGTTGTCTTATAAGGAACTGGATACAGCCTCTATTACACGCGTTTTAGAGCCATGAATCCAGGTGTGGATAAAGCGAACAATATCTGGTACAGTTAGCCTAGGATGTTACAAGTTTATATACTAAAAACTAAAGAGTAAGACACTAAAAAAGGCAAGAAAACTCAAACATCGCGTTACAAAAACCGCATATTGGACCATGGCATACCACAAGCTTAACGTGTTGTGAGACATGAGCCTTGAGCCACAGCATGCCACGGCGGTTGTTATGGCGAGCCTTTTAGAACACTGGTTGTATGTAAGAACAAAGAGAAATAAACTTGAGGGCCAGCTCGAGTGGCAGATAGAGGCTAGGCCTTGGGGATCTTTATAGGTTGCCAGATCGAGTCTCCACATGACCATTGGGAATTTCCCGACTGTTATCTTTTTGGCAATGTTCCAATCCAAGTTACGCCTTTGTTTCAATAAGCAATTGTTACAAGATATCGATGGCATTGATTTTGGTCCACAACATTCTCCTATTTTGTTATTATTATTAAAGGGTGTATTTAGTTTGACTAATAGTCAAACACTTCAATGTAGATGACGCCTTAGAAACTTACATTTGAAAACCAAATCCTTTCATGTTCTTTTTCCATTCTTCTCTTATCCTTCAAGTTTGACACTATATGCCAAAGACTCTTGTTGTACGCCATCCAACAGCGGACCCATGATTTTCAAAGTCGCGTTTAGAATCACAAACAAACGGTTTTCTTTTCCATCTTGGTTTCACTTCACAGAATTTAAAGAATCCTACACAATTTCATATGCTTATAAAAATTGGCTAAAAAATTAACGAACTAGATTGTCCACCTTGTTCATGTGGGTCTATCTAGTGCCATCTCTGCAGACATCTTTTTTCTAGCACCCTGCTATATTTATACTCCCATTTCAGCATAAAAAGAAAAACAAACAATCCCACATTATAATGCAGTCTTATTGGATACCAGTTTCAACACTATTATTAGCCCAAAATCATGGATGTCCACGAAGAACCCTAGAATCAGTACGGTGGCATCCTATAAAAAACATAACAATCAGAACTCAAGTTAAAACCCCTATAATTACAAAGTGGTCAACCTCCAAATCACTCTAAATTGCATTTTGTAGATAAAACCAACATAGTTGCAAAAGAAACAGCAAATAAAACACCACATTTTTCCCATCATACCTTCTTCACTATTTTATGCCAACTATACTAGTTTTCTTGAATTTGTGCCAAGATTTTGGCTTTTCAGAAACAAGTAAAATAATTCAAAATGCTAAAACAAATATGTAGATCAAACAACACATAAGAACACACACACACACACACACAGAGAGAACTAATCAGAGTAGCAAATTGGGGGGAAATATGTACCTGAAAAGTATGAGCAGGAAGCTCCCACCCATGGCGTCTAGCCATGATCAAAATACAAAGTCAAAAGCCAAACCTCCCGAATCAAAGAGCATTCAAAGTCAAATTAACCATAGAAACTCCAAATTCAAGAAAACCCCATAAAAAGTTAACAAACAGAAACCACTGACTATGTTCTTCAGTCCTTGACTCTCTCAATGAGGAACATACGGGTCAAGAAGACGATATTTAATCTTGACCCAGATGTTAAACCGCAAAATAACCCGACCCAATAGCTGGATTCCTCAAAATCTAGGGTTTCTATGCAGAATCGATTAATCGATCAATGAGACGTGGAAGAAAGTTAGGAAATTTTGTGGGTTTTGGTCTGCTAAAACCACACTTACAATCCAAAGACCAACAATCTTTTGGGGGTTTGTTTGTGAAGTCTGTGTGTGCGTAAAAGCGGTACAATTTCTTAGGCCTGCAGCACAAAATTTCAAGGGGAGTAATAATATAGTCAAAGTTTCAACACAGTTAGAGGGTCTTGCCGGCTGCAGTCTCAATTATAAAATTAAAGTAAAATAGATATAAAAAAAATATTGAAGTAAATTACAGATTTAGTCCCTTTGGTTATATTAAAATTATGGATTGGGTCCCTCTCTTTATTTTAGAACTGTTAAGTCAATGAGATTGACTCATTTTACTTTTTTCTCATATTCTTTCAAGAAAAGAAAATATAAATTAATATTATATATATATTAAATTATTTTCTCTCCATGTTCTCTATGCGTTGGTCAAACCCAAGTTACCTCTAATTTTCAGTCATCTTTCTCTGTGCAATATTCCATTTTCCGGCCACCACATAATACAAGCAACACACCATACATATACCAAATTTACCCAACTCTAGCCCGCACTTATCAAAATAAAAGGTTATATGATTTAGATACAGATACAGGTTGATTTAAACCATCAAACAACACGATCAACCAACTCCATCGGCTTGCATATTTTAAAATTAATATAACGAGAATCGACTTTTAAAACACCACCAAAGACCAAATAGGTTCCCAATCCGAACTTTTGTGTGTGTTAATCTATACATACATAAACCAAATTGTCTACCATCTTGAGACCAAACGATGGGTACACAATCCAAACTTTTACTTAAAATCATCAAAAGCTATCATCTGGAGATGGTGATGAATGGTGGAGTGGACTATGGTGGTGAGATGTCCAGTTTTTTAACAAGGGTTGTTACCAGAGGCTGGAGGACAGGCGATGGGAATGAGCAACTGATGGCATTCTTCACCGACATAAACAACGAAGGAGCCGACAGAGGGGATGCAGTGGACAATCTAGCGAATGTTGTTGAAGACGATGATGGTTGGTTTTATTGTAGACGGACGATGGCCGAAGAAGAAAAGGCACCGACGAAGGACAAAGTTTAGGGTGGGGACTGGGGAGTACAACATATATATGTGTGTGTGTGTGCGTATATATATATACACACACACATTTATATATAGAGAGACATTGTTTTTTATTTTCTAAAAGAAAATTTAGTAAAAGAACCAAAATGCCCTCAATTTAACGGAGTCTAGGTTAATAGAGTTGAGGCAAGGGATCCAATTTATAATAAAAATGAAATCACAGGGACCATAGCTGTAACTATTTTGTTTAGGGGCTCCAATACAATTTTCATATAACCATAAGGTCGAAAATTGTAATTTACTCAAAATATTATTAAAAATTTCTAATTTTATTATCATTGGCTGAAATATTATTAACAACAATTAACATAATAGTTTTAATCAATTCATATTGTATTTTGTTGTTGGTTTTTTATGTTAATTAATTTGATTAAAATTAAATTAAAATAATATAATTTATATATGAGTAATTATATAATTGATATATTGTAAATATCTAATTATTTTTTAATAAAAATATTTTTTTGCTATCATAAGAGTGTCTTGACGTAGGTTTTAGAATTGATTATTATTTTTGCAACTTTAATGTAATCATTGAAATTAGATAATCAATTATGTATAAATATGGATTGTTAAGCAATCCTACGTTTATATCAACGGTCCTTTTTTCTTACAACAACTCTTTATTAAATCATCAAAATTTCATTATTTTAACACAAAATAATTGGAAAATCATAAATCATAATCCATTTTCAGACACTGAAAATTAATTATTGTAATTTTAGATCGTAAAAATCAATTAGATCTACATTCAATGACCCATTTATATATATATGTGTGTGTGTGTTAAAATTATTTATTGATGTTTTTACCATATGAAGAAGACACGTATTTCAACATATGAAATCAAATAATTCATCCAGTTACGGACTACCGTAACGAGTTTGTAATTTTGAATGATAGATTTTTACGACATGCTTATTTTAACTTCATAAAAGTATAAATGAAACTTATGTTGTATCAAATCGATTTATGGATAAACTTGTTTTAAAGTTATTTACCATAAAAACTATTTTTGATTTTCAAGATTTAAGGTTTATATATATATTTTTTTAATTCTAAGTTTCTATTAATCTACATAAAATAAAGTACTTTTGTCATTTCATATAGAGTAGATACTAATCTTATTTTATTAATCCAAAATAATTATTATTACTTTCATATTAAATATATTTAATAATTAATAATTAAAAATCAAATATAATACTTTAGAGTTGTTAGATTGTATAGGTTGAATTATTAAATGTGCAAGTGGTTACTTATATAATATGTTGTGTGGTTACATTATTATGTCAAATAATTAAAAATAATAATGTCAATTGAATAAAATAGAAGAAATCCAACAAATTTCTACGTAATATTCTTAATTAGCAACTAGTCGTTAGCTTTCTTAAATTATATTTATATTTTTTATTTTAGATAAATCATCGTGCTTAAAATAATTAAAAAATAATAATTTTTCACAGGATGAATGAATTTTCGATTATTTATCTGGATAAACTTTTTTGTCTCACTCAGCAGTTGAGATTAATCAAACTTCTGACCTATCTTATATAATATAATAAAACTATTGCATTAATATATATCTATGTAAATATACTAATGATTGAAATCTTGATTATCGGATTAAAAACTGAAAAATTATACATCAATATAGGTATCAAATTAAAAAGGGATAAAATACTTGCTTATATATATATATATATATATATATATATATATAATTTACTTAATTAAAAATTTAATTACATTTAAGATAATTAAGAATAAAGATAAATTGTGGGGACATAGTGAGTTGCAAGCCAAATCATTGTGATTCTCTTTGTTTTATGAGACATGACCATTTGAATTTTGTATAATAGTTTGAGATACTTTTATTCAATCACTTATTAAAATTCAAAAATATAAGTTAGGGATCGTCTATTAAGAATAAGGGGCTGTTTATCAAATTTTCTATTAAGTCTTGTATGGATAAATTTGTCTGTCTGGATAAATTTAGTTGTCTGGATAAATTTGGGTTGCTGTTTACTTTTCTATCTGAATCAACAGTCTGAATAACATAAATGACCAATTTACCCCTGAGTATTAACTATGGGCTGTTTAGTATACTGTTGTTCATTTTTTAAGGCAAATGATATTTCTGAAAAATAAAATATTTAAATAACAAAACATAAATTCATAAATCCAAGTTCAAACACAAAGTAGCCAAGTTCAAATACAAGTTGAAACACAAAAATCCAAGTTCAAACATTATTGACCAAACTATTTGGAAGGATATTAACAAGCTGCTGTTATACAACCCCATGTTAAACAAACCCAAAAACAAAACACATATCGAGCTGCAAATCAGAAGCAATAAACAAATAATGAACATTGTACACCCAAGTTATCAAGGTTTAATTTAAGAAGCAAGCAGCAACCAAGTTATCAGACTCTGATTCCAAACTAATAACGTGATAATGGGAACCAAATAATATACTGGTTTAAGCAGACTCTGATTCCAAACTAATAAGGTGCTTCCTCCTTGTGTTGATACCACTGTACTAAAGAAAAGGAAAAACGAAAACCTAAACAAACTAAACAAACCGAGCATACAAAATCGAACATAAGAGCGAATCGAGCATCAACAGATAAGAGCAAATCGAGCGAATCGAACATAAGAGCGAATCAAGCATCAACAGATTAAGAGCGAATCGAGCATCAACAAGCAGCAAAATCGAACATAATCTATAGATAAGGAGAAGAGGTACCTTTGGAGAAGAGAAGATTGGATAACGAGCAGCAAAATCGAAAGCAATATGAGCAGCAAAATCGGCCGATTAGGGTTTTGGAGGAGAAGGAGCGAACCTGTCGAAGGAGAAAAGAGAGCGTGGGTTTTCTATTACGAGGGTAGGCAGGTCTTTTTGTTGGCTTAATGTGGACAAGTGATGGTATTGGTCTGTGCGAATAAGCCCCTGTCTAGGCGAATAAGCTCGAAGTAAACAGCCTAAAATGGCTGTGCGAATAAGCCCGTTTATCCGATAAGCTCATTAAGCCACAAGTAAACAGGCCGTAAGTGTATTAATATCACTTACCTTGTCAATTGAACATGACAAAGTACAAAGAATATTAATCAGTAAGAGGTATAACGAGGACCGAAAGTCTTACCCAACAAGTAAGAGAAAATACATTTACTCGGTAAACGTTTACAAGGTTTAACTTGCTTACCAATAACCCATTTTGATGACTAAAAATGTTACAGGATAAGGTAAATAAAGATGACGTTGCTTGCGTTGTACACTTCCCTAATAAATATTTGATAATGATGTATATGTATATATATATATATATGTATATATATATATATATATATATATATATCTATATAGGGGAGCGATCAAATGCAAACCACTTAATTTGTACAAACCGTGCAAACTTCATTCAACCAATCATAATTTTTTATTTTGTTAATTTTTTTGTAATTATGAAAGGTTGATTAATCATTTTTATTGTGGAGGGTGTTAATCATAGATATTATCATCTTTATTATTTTAATTTTAGAGAAATACATGAAACAGTTTCATTAATTTTAGAGAAATACATGAAACAGTTTCATTAAGTAATATATAAAATAATTTCACAACCATATATGAAACAACTTCATCAAAAAAGTATTATATGAAACAATTTCACAAGATTAAACAATTTTATGAAAAAATTTCATAAGATTAAACAATGAAATCGACGGATGAAGATGGTTTGCACGGTTTACACAAATGAGGGCGGTTTTCATTTGATCACTTCTCTATCTATATATATATATATATATATATATATATATATATATATATATATATATATATATATATAGAGGCTTAGGTGAGCTGCCACCTATACCTACCATGGAAAATAATTGTTGATTCCCCAGATAAGTTTTGTTAAACCAAGAACTTGGATTCTTTTGTCCCAAGAGTGAGTGTTGTCTTGTAGCTTATTTAAATAAAAGGAGAAAGGCATTGATAGTTTCATTTTCAATAAACGATATGTGATTTATATAACTTATTTTTGTATTTGGTTGACCACAAATTAAGTTTATATACACATTACAAAAATCATATTTTGACAAAATAAATTTAAAAAAAAATACCCAACGTTGATCGTCAGTGTAAGCAATGAGTATCCAAGGTATCATTGAGTATCTCAATTTCAAATATCTTTAATGTTATCATGATCAACAGGTGTGGCTGATGATCCATTTAGCAGACTGTTTCAACGTTCGTACTTTAGTCATCGGTTGAAATTCTTCAAGTGTCGGTTAATGTTGGTGGTAACGGAAACATGTATTGTTGGTATTTCGTTGTGATACCAAGCATACTAAATCCACTCCATACATATTTGTTGTCGACTGTAATCTTATGTACTTTATAACAAGTTAAAAATGAAATTGGTTCATATACAATTTGTTATCGATAGGATATAAAAGAAGTTGCTTATTGATATTATTTAAGTATGGAGTACACATTGATACCCTAAAGTAGTGAAAGTGCTACCCCTAAAAATGAAAGATCATAAACCTACACAACTGTTGTACCTATTGAAACCCTAGGATTTTGGAAAGGAGAAATTTGGATGTAGATTCTTGTGTTGATCCCTAGCATGATATGGACCTTCTGTATCTGAGAGTTCGGTCTCTGAAGGAAAAGCTCTCGGAGATGATGGGATGTCAATTTCACTCTCCGCAGTGGATGATCGGTGCTTGTTGTTATGAAGGAAATGAACTGGTGACGAACCACGACTTGGCGTATTTTCCATGCTCATTATGCCGGAATTTGAAGTATCTGGTCTTCCTCCGCTATCTCCAAGTTCTCGCAACCTCCTCCTTTCCTTGGCAGCCTTTTGCCATTTCTTTAGAGCTTTGGAGGTTTGTTCTTCGAATATTGACCTTTTCATGTGAGATCCCATCTTCAAGATTCAAATAAATGTCCGAATATCAGATAAATAATTTCTATTTATTTATGAAATATCATGTTTCATTAGGGTTTGTTTTGATTTGAGATGGTACTTACTTGTGTAACCAAAGCATAAAGAGGGAAAGTGATGTAGCTACACATGACATGGAGAAGCACACCCAATCCAACTCTAATACCAATTGCCAATATGCTCTCATGGTAACATGAGTTTATGCCAAATTCATACTGCAAAATACCCGATATATTTTCATTCAAAATCCATATATTTGTTTTGATTTAAAAAAAAAACTATCATTTAATTTGTACAATTCATATGAATTGATGGATCAAATTGGTTACGAGATAAACCACTATAATAAAATCGGGTTTATAGGACACTCCCAACTTTTAAGCGTTCTAATAGACTTCTTTATAGGACTTGGTTTATAAGACCAAAAATTAAAGTGTCATATTTAAAGGTGTTGTAATAAGTTTATATGACGCGTCATAATAAGTTTTTTAGGACATTTTTAATATAAAGCGTCTCATTAGCAACTTTATAGGACACTCTTTGAAAAATTGTCCTATAAAAACAAGTGTCCGATAAAAAAACTGAGTTTATAGGACACTTATAAAGTTGTTAATGCGCACTTTGTATTAAAAATGTCCTAAAAACTTGTTAAGACGCCCAAAAGCGTCATATAAACTTATTACAACGCATTTAGATATGACGTTTTATATTTTAATCCTATAAATTAGATCTTATAAAATGGTCTATTGGAACGCCATATTAAACCATGACTCAAACATCATTACATGAATTACTTACCACCGTCCACAAGAAAAACGCCATTTGAAATGCATTCTACAAATGAGCAAAATAAAACGAAAGTAAATATACAAGTATCAAGTTGGATTAAAAACACTAACAAATCCTATTAAATTACATTATAATTTGCTTCAAAGTGTAAATTGTCTTATTAACCGTTTGATATAATATTTTTAGAAAATTGTAATAAAAAGCGAAGATTAAATAAAAAAAATTAACATAATTTCAACGAGTATCGACTATCGAGTATGTCTCAATTTATATATTCAAGGATTAGTTTTGGGATTATTGAAATGTCTAGTTGTAAAAAAATAAAACTCAAACTAAAGGGCCTTTAGCCTAACGGTATTGAAGTATTTTGTCTCTTAGGAGGTCAGGGGTTCAAACATCATCAAATGTGAGAGGAGAGTGTGAATTTATTTGTTGCATTTGTCGTATATAAATTATATTGTTTTATATTAAAAATAAATCATTATTACTAAAATTTTGAATTAAAAACTTTAATTACCTGAAACAAAGTAAAATGGATTAAGAACAAGACCAATTTGGGGCTATTGAACCAGAAGAACTTGTTGCTTGGCTCAACCACTGGGGCTCCCCTTACAATTGTTGCCTTATCTTGAATTTGTTGAGCCATTTCCATGATCACTAGCTCAAGTTTTGTACCCACTAATAAAAGAATCTACATAACACGTACCATAATTGTAACTGTTATAATTTTGTTTCAATAAAAAATGTAATTAAAATTAAATAAAGCTTAAAATTAAAGAAAACCATGGTGTACCAGTAGTGGGACGAACGAGAGATAGGTGAGTGCATGCCATTCTGTACCACAGAAAAAAAAAACAATGAGATCTTCAATTTTGTTATGAATTGTAACGGTTTTATGAATTATGAACCATATGCATGATGTACATACATGCATACATATACATATACATATATGTATATGCATATAAATACTTATATGCATATCATCCATCGGTATGCATGCATAAAGACAAGCAATTCATTGACAAGTTTCGCCAAATAAACACTCAAATTGTGTGTTCTAACTTTTACATTTGAGACTATTGACCAAATTTTAATTATAGAATGAAAATCGGTTGCAATTAGTTTATGCCTACATATGTATTATTTGATTTACATGCACATGCACGCACGTGTGCACGTGCACTTGCACACACACACATCGAGAGAGAGAGAGAGAGAGAGAGTTTACTGTGAACATTGAGAAGTAGAAACAGGATCGAGAACATCCAAAGCGGAATACTGTATAAGATGATCAAACATATGAATCAATATATGTAAAAACCCTTGTCCTACATGAACAAATCACATGAACTTGCATTTACGTTTCAAAGGTTAACGACTTTTTGCTATCTCGTTATAATTTTTCCTTGTGAGGGTCTTCATGAAAAGGGTGTTCTATTTTTTTTCGGTAGATGATCAGCTTAAATACATCCCATTGGACACCACCTTCGACCTCTAGATATAATCCACTGAACTTTCTTGGTTTGTTTTTTTAAACGACAAAAGAAAACCGATAGAAAAGAGAGAGGGGAAGAGAGGGACCTTATACCCAAGACAAACTTGAAGTCATCTTCCATTGATCTCTTGATGTACTTATGGAAATCAAATTTGCTATTTGGCGCAAAATGTGCCTATGTTATAAAACAAAAAGAACGGTTAAAATGGATTACGATTTACCGGTCAGTCCAACCTTTATTTCGTGTAAAAATTATTCAATAAATTAGAATAGACTACTTTCTTTCATGTGGTTCGTTAAAAATTAGAACTTTCATCCCTGTGTTTTCAAAATTACAGTTTTTGTCACTGTGGTTTTTAATCCTATGTTGTTTTCATCCCTAAAGCTAACTCCGTTAATGTGGTTTACCATTAGATATGAAGAACAAAAAATAACAATGAACTGGAAACCAAGATAAAAAACGGTAGTTTCAATAACATAAAAATTCAACAAACCGCAAGGACGAAAAATGTAGTTCACTCATTGACTTACATTTATGAATCCATTACGGATAGTCAAATAGTCAACTTTTGATATTGATCCGAAGAACTGTCTGAAAAACGCCACCTGTGTTGACATAAAATCTTATTAAAATTCAATTAATATTCATAAATAGAAATGAAATAGTACACTAAATACTGGTTCATAGTCAACGAACATTCCTTTTCTCGAATTAAAACAGACACTCTGCATAATCTACAACTTTTAATTCTTGATTTACGACCTTAATAAAATTCAACTTTAATACATGATTTACAATTCATCATGATTTTCAAATACAAATAAAGGAAATCATACAAATCAATCTTAACCGTTGTTTATCTAGCATCATGAATGTGTGTTCCACAAATATTTTGTTCGTTTCATAATAAATAAAACCTTATCATCTTCCATAAATATCTCAACCATTGAATAAACGGATCATCTTTCATAAATATCTCAATCCGTTTGCCAACATAAACGTTGCTTATGATTTAAGATTTCCATTATTTGTATCTAAAACTTTCTCTAAGATTCAAATAGTAATTAATATTAAATAAACAGAAAGAAATTTACACTTACCACCCATCTAATTCCGGGTTTCGTAGAAAGTCCAGTGTGACGTCTTACGAAGGAGGTTTGATGAGCAAACCGAAATCTTGCAGGATCTAAATGCAAAAAAATAAAAATAAAGCTCCATTTAACTTGGATCCAACAATGGGTCGATCCGATAACATGTTGCTTCTCACTTGGTACCGTACAATCATTCAATGCACCAATTTCTCTTTTGAAAAAATAATTACCATTTGTGAACTCGTACTCCAAAGATTTAGTTTCTGCTTCCCAAGCTTTCCATTTTTTCATCTGTGTCAAACCCACAAAATAACAAATATTAAATAATAAAACGGTGAAGTCAGATGTATTTTTTATACTAAATTCACGTATAAAATAATATATGATTATGTGTGACGTAGGTTAAGGGTTAAGTCATAGGCATATTCCTACATTGACCGTTCGTAATCATACGTCATTTAAATGCAAAATTAAATGTAATTCGGTCATTCGATCTTGTGTTGTTATATTTTGATCGTATTCTCGTTTGATTCTGTTCCAATATACAGATATGTATAAAGAGAAAAGAGAAAATATAAGAGAGAAATAATGGAGTTACCTTGGCAAGGCCGAGAACGATGATGATGACACTATAAAGAATATGGAAGACGGCAAGAATAAATATGAATATATGAAGCTGATGAACTGCAGAATACGATATCATTGGTACCATTCCCTGCATCACAGTTTCATTTTATTATAATATATTATATATATATATATATATATATATATATATATACACACACGGACGAAGGAACGTGTGAAAATGAGCGTTACAGTGAGAAACGTAAGAAGGGATCTAAATTTTGATGATCGTTAATCTCATCTTGTTACATCTTATTATAACATATATCGAACGGTGGAAATCCCTTCTTACGATTCTCATCTTAATTCTACTTGTCAGCGAAAAACAACCCCATATATCCTTCCTAAAATAAAAGAAAATACCTTTTCACAAGTAGCACCGTCCTTTTTGGCTGCTGCTAAAACTCGCCGGAAAATCACATCTTCAGCTAAAAAAAGTAATTTCCGGCGATGTTCATCATCACCATCACCGCCGTCGCCGCCTTTGCCACCATCTTTCTTTTTACCATCATCGTCATCATCATAATGTTCGGCTTTGCATGGAAGCATCTTGTATCCAATACTATCAGGAACACATATCTTTGCAACATATTTTGTACCCACCGTTAATAGCAATGATAGAAACCCTAACAGCATCAACTCTGCATTCACATCAAATCATATCACAATCATTTTTAATTAAATAAAAACACTTTTTGAGATATCTGTAATACTTTTTGCATAAATGTATAGTATTTTGTGCATTAAAAATTGTTTTTAAGACCTTTAATAAATCTAGTTTATAAGGTTGTATAAATATTTTGAAATTATAATGATGACATAAATTTTCCTTGGTAAAGTTGGTTTACATGACTTTTTTTCTTTTTTCGCAGGTTTGAATCCTATTTAGGTCATCTTCTTAGTTTTTAACTTTTAATTCCGAATTTATTATGTTTCTGGAAAAATTAGCGATGAAAAACTCAAACACATGATCTCACATATCTATACAAATGTTTATAAAGAACTAACCAACAGACTAATTATTATTTTATAAAAAACATCTATATATTTGTTTCTTATAGTTAAATGGTGTCACCACTTGAATAAAAAAAAAATCTTTGTCCACCTATGAACAAACCCATTTTATTATATAGTGTAAAGGGAAAACCGTAATTGTAACTTATATTATAATGCTAAAAGATTGATTTAAATAAAAAGATTAAATGTCGTAAGAAGATGAATAAGGGAATAACGTAAGGTTTGTATGTGAAACGTTAAGAAAAACCCGTAAAATAAAGTCTATTTAAAGATACATACGTAAACCAACATTACTGATTATTCATATGGATTTGTATGTACATATTTTCGATTTTTTTCAGTAATTCACAACAACCTAATTTTCTTTAATGTTTTTATATAAATATCTCACATAGAACTTATATGACGACATTCACAATCTATGAAAAATTTGACTTGAAAATATATTAAAATTATGATATTTAATTATCGATCTCATCGAATAATTTATGAACAAAAAGTCGACTTTACGTGATGGATAATAAATAATTTTAAATACATTAAAATATTCTAAAACAAAATGTTAGTAATAATTTTTTATAATTATTTGCTATTATTTTATTTGATTATTATTTTACCTGCTTTTATTTTCTCCAAGGCTTCAAGCATTGCTTTCTTCTGCTTTTTTTGAAACCACTGCATGAATTTACAATCAAAAAAACTTCTCCATTACATAATTTATTTTAGATATGAAAATGAAAATAAAAATAATAAATTATAGTAATTTCTTTCAGTTTAACTAATAATGAAAATTTGGTCTTATGGGTAATTGACTCATTATATTTTACAAAAAAAAAAAAAAAACAGTTTCTTTCATTTTCAGTAACTTTAAATACTGTTTAATATCTCTAAACAAACACATGTTCTAAAATATATTGGGCGAATAGATCTAAGTTTAGCTGATGACACGAGACTCCAATGTTAATACGCCCCTCCGATTAACTGACAAAGGCGTACCATGGTGTAGAATATTACTTCAAGTACTATTTACAGTGATAGACGTTGTCTCCGTCTCTCTGATACTTAGATATGTAGTACCAGTTAGATGATTCTCTAAAAGAGCCATCGATGGTTCTCAAAAAATTCACGGTTCTCATTTGAATTAACTGCAAATTCATATATGGTTCAACGTATATTGAAGAGAATAGGTCTAAGTTTGATGTAGGACTCTAATGAGTTTAATTAAATCGTAGTTACAGAAACCCTACCTTGCCAATTGAATGAATCACATGTTCAATGATAACGGAGATGATAACGAATACCGCACAAACCAATGCAACGGCCCACGTTGGTGTTTGCTCCAACGACCTCTCCGATGACGACCCTGTCGCCATTTAATTCCGACCAAAAGCAATTATTCTCTGTCGACCACCACAAAAACGGCTGACAAAGGCTTCTTTGGTTTTTCCAGCTTTCAGAACAAGAAGGAGCAGAAGTATACAAAGAGTTGGTGTAGGGACAAATATATCGGAGAGAAAAGCAAAGTAGAGATAATAAAGAATGAGTTATAAAGCGTGTTAATGAGTTGATATGGTATTAACAAGTATTTTTGAAATGGTCAAAATTGTCATTTCACTCCAATATTTGTTGGGAAATATTATATTTGATTCATATTATCTTATCAAATATGAAATTTTTTCTTTCCTACCTTGAGAAAATTACATATTATTTTTTTTTGTAGATAAAGATATTATAGAAAATGTTTGTTACTCAAATTAATCTGATCTGAACTCGACCTTAGAATATGGGTCTGGTCCAGTTATTGATATCCAATCAAAACTTGATTAACTGGTGTAGAGATTTTTTCACCATAACTTAGATATTATGAGTTTAAATTTATGGTTCCTCGAAATAAAACCGAACCAGTTCTATTTATTTCTATGTATTTTTTTTTACATTCTTATTTAAACATACTTTATAATCAATTCATTCTGATGTCGTCTGTTTTGAATTATTCAATATGACAATCGTGTAAAACCGATAACTTTAACACCATTAAAAATAAATATATATATAACTTTAAAATAATATTGATTTTTTTAAACAAAAATTGTAATATAATAAAATGCCGGCCATATTTGTTGGCAAACAAAGGAAATTGTACGCCTGAGATAACCAACCTATGCATCTACACAAGTGGTCTTTATTTATTATTGTCTTCGTTATTTATTTATTATATTTATTATATGATTAATTATATCATGGTATCATGAAAAATGACATGATTAATAGTATATGTTGGTAACTTCTTCGTATTATATATTATATGATTAATTAGATCATGGTATCATTCAATTCTTATCTTGAAGAATATATATTTCAAAATGTACATTTGATGGCTTATAGTTTAAAATGTATTTATTTAAGGGCTTATAGTTTGAATAAGTCAATTTTGATGAACGTTGTCACACCCCACTTTTCATAAGGGCCGTTTTGAGGGCATATTGTGACATAAAGACATACAAACTATTTGTTACATGGCAGTGGAAGATTTTACCGATGCTAATCGGTAAGCTTTACTGGGTAAGAGTCACCATACTCACTTACTAATAAGATTTTGACCATCGAAATGATATAATAACATTGTTGGTAAACATCTCTTACTCGACAAATACTAAATGGGTAAGAGTCACCACCGTCACTTAATTTGTGCGTAAAATTTCCACTTACCCAGTAAAATAAGTGACCTGATAAATGCTTAACCGATAGCATTTAGTAAACAACTCCTAAAACATCATAACATATTAAACTCTCATGGCTACCCTTACAAAAATACCAAATCTCACCCTTGCCCTTATTACATTCTGTCTTGCATGCTTTTTGAGACAATACTACTAGTTAGCTTCACAATCGGTAAGTTCACAGTTTCAGGTAATTAACAATAAGCTTCTCAACACATAAAAACATGTACAAGCTTGTCGATGCATGTATATCTTAAAAAACATGAAACTGGTAATTGTTATTCAATATTGTATCTCGAGCATGCTAACATACAACTTGATTGAGTCCATAAGCTTCGTTATTCATAAACCCCCCCCCCCTTCATATTTCATTAAGTTACATCATTGTTCTGTAATCTTTATTTGTGTCGTATTTTGGTTATAAGATAGACATGTTTTTAAAAAGTAAATTTTTAAATATATATTTGAAAGTATGTGTTCAAATTATGTATTTTAAAAGTACGTTCTCAAAATATGAATTTAATAGAATTATGTTTTATCCTCATACAATTTGCCTCTTTTAAATACATGTTAAAACGTGTGAATACCAGTTGGGTTGACCCACTCAATATTTTTATTAATTTTAAAAATTTACGTATTAATATAATAATTTAATCTTTTAAATAAAATTATTTAAAAAATTGTAAGTATCAAAATACATTTTGGATGATTTTTCAACTTCCATTCAAGCCATTTTCGTTAGAAATAAAATCATAACTCAAATTGATTGTCGCGTCTAATTAACACCCGATGCAATCCATCTTGAAAAAAGTGGCATGGGCTCAAATCATCTAACACTTAAGCATGGGTCGTTAATTAAACCAACTGACTTTCCTTGGCATGGGTCGTTATCCCTCATGCACGTTACATCTACACTTTCGGTTTTGATACTTAATACAAAACAACCATATGTTATTTTAATCGTTAAGAAGATGGTCTTAGAAAATTCTAAATTATATACTGTTTACAGGTTAAAATAATCAAACAAAAAAAATCGAACTAAGGATAAAGACAATAAAGCCTTTCCAAGACACGTCAAGATAAAATATTGATTAAAGACTAATTGATAAATAAATAAGCGATTTATTTTCTTGATACAATTCTTTTGAAAATTAAAAATAGAAAATAAAGTAAAAATTACAAAAATAGAAAAGTAAAAGAGATACATGCTCATAAATCTTGTTTAAGATCAACTAACAAATTACTTTTCAAGATATCATATTTGAGCTTTTAGAATAATTTAATTACATTTTTATAAAAAAAATTATGAAATAATATTGTAGCATGTAAAATAAGCAATTTTATTCAACAACTGTTATAAATATAGAAATTACATCTATATATTTGGAATCACATGAGACCAACTTGTTTTCGTGAAACCATAAGATTATTTTTTGCATTTGAAACTTCACAGCAAAATGCTGTGAAATTATTGTACGAGTACATTTTTTATATATTAAGAGCATTTTCTAAAATAGAGAGTTAAAAGTTAAATTTTAAAAAAAAAATCAACTCCAACATATTTTATATTTTAGAAATTTTAACATAAATCTGATGTTCTCTAATTTATCAGCCCAATACACTATTAAAAATAAACTTTATATAAAATAACAACAATAATAATTCAATTTTATTGGTGGATTGAATAAAATAATCATTTATCTATCTCTCTCGAAGTCAAGTTTTAGATAATTTTTTAAACTTGAGAATTTTTCATGTTTTCTTTATTTTAAAAAAACACATTATAGAGAATCTGTTGGAGAAATATATAAAACAAAACTTTCATTTTCTCTATTTTACAAAATATGTTGAGATGATGTGATGTGGCAAGTTTTTTCTTCATATTATCGGATTTAAAATCACGACATCTATCGGTTAATCGAAGAATTTAGTAAACATAATTTATTAATACATTCATATATGAATATACTGTATCACATTTATATAAACATAATCGTATATCAACATTGTCTTAAGAAATCTCTTTAAAAGATATGCCATGATATATAGGAAACTTAAGCCACATTATATATAGATCTGTTATCGGCAACTGAAAATGATTTTAAATTGTTCATATGACATACTTTGTTTTATTTTATGTATTTTATATGTGATAATTACATTGATCAGAGAAAAAATATACAAAAATTAGGATGTTTAAAGTGTATTACCAGTCTTTGTTGTTTAGTAGTTGGTTTTTGATTCCCATTTAACCATTTTTATAGATGAAAACGACTCGGTCTGCTTTTTTATTGTTGGTTTTTACAATCAGTATCGACATTTAGAAATCAATATAAATACCGACAAAAAGATGATATTGAATTTTCAAGTGTATGCGAAAAAGGTATCATTTTGTATTGTCGTTCAAAAAAAAAAAACGTGAGGTGTGGCATGACAGCGAGGTTAAGTTTTAAGCCTTATATGTCACGGCTTTACAAAAAACGTGCGCCATGGCGTGAGTCACGCCTTACATAAACGTTATGGGTCATTTCTAACGGCGGAGACGCGTCTTGCGCCATATCGCTACATGACGCGCCTTTTTGAACATTGATTATAATATGTAGTAAAAATGATTTTTTTAAGTTAATTTTAGAGAAAACGTATTCATCAATTATAGGCATTGAGATATGGCCGGTTGAGACCGAACTGATTGGAATTATAAATTATTTAGCTTGTTGTCTTTATCTAGAAAAAGAAGACATAACTGATAATACAAAAAAAAAACTGATTAAAATAATTATAAGAAATATCAAGAAGTTGTTTGATAATTTATGTGCTTAGCATCGAAAAGGGAAAAATTGACGATTGAGTCGACGTTCAACATGGAAAGAAGAGGACCTATTTATTAAGGGCATATCAAACACATATACTTCTAACTCGGTTAAAGTTTCTTAACGAATTACTCATTAAGAGGTTTTCCAGCATCCCGTAAGAGTATTCGATATTGGTCTAATGTATGATGATAAGACATTAAAAGTGGTATGCATGTTATACACTTATGTTAAGGTGAATAGGGTGGTGCAAACGTACAGTGAAATACAAACGAAGGGCGATGAAAGTTTTGTTATTTATAACTGTATAATAATATATATTTCTATACACCCCTATTAATTATAAAAATTAAAGGTGGGGGATTACACTTGTTATACCCTCCTTAATTATATTTGTGGTTTAATCACGGCGTAAATGCACAAGACACACCCTATTATGTAAAAGTAGCAAAATTGGACGGGTTAGATAATAGGGGTGTTCATATAAACCGTCAAACTGCATATATGTTCAACATCTTCACGATTGTCTCAAAAGCTGCTATATTTCATCAACTAAAAAGGCACTTAAATATTGAAGTATTAACAGTGATATCTAACATCACCAAAATACATCAAAATCATTTTATTAGTGAGTTGAAGAGATAATTTCACCATGTACATTATATTCACAAATTATCAAAATCTGGCAATAAAGAGGAAAATATTAAATGTCATTCTAGAAAACAGGCCTTTTGGATGCAATGCAAACAGATCAAAGCTACGCATAAGCAATATTTAAGATCATTTGGTTTACAAGTGAATGATGAGAACAAAAGAAAAGGGTAACAATACCACAACACCGTTTATCAAATGCACCCTTACTTACCTTATTGTGTATCTACCCATCATAATTACCAAATGCACAACCAAAAATGATAACGACCTGAATCCAACAACATTTCCATATTGTAAAATGTTAATCAAATGGATCCTAGCAAGGTAATCAAAGAGAGCACAGCCATACAACATAACGAATAATAAATAGTACAAAGACCTCCATAATTCTCCATCTATACACCTTGACTTGAAACCTTATAAAGTAGGACCTTTGATTCTAAGCTTTGAGAAAAAAAACTTCCAAAACAAAAACAAGCAGTGATAAAATTAAAACAAACATTACAAATCAAGAAGTTCAAAGCAAAAAAAAAGTCCATTCGTTTAATGGCTTCAAAATCGACAGTGAAGTTCAAAAACTTTTAGACCAATTCTATGCGCTTCTGCAAGATCCTACATGTTCACCTCTTGATCTGTCTAGCAGTATATTTGATACAAGTATATATCATCATAGTACTGTAAAAAAAAGTCTTCTTGGTTCCAATATCTTCATATAAATCAAGGTGGTTTAGAAATACCTCTACCACCTACTTGATTTCTCACAACTATTCAACCAATATCAACAAGCAATTCCAAATGAGTATGTTATAAACTATAACAACATTATAAAAACAAGAAGACAGAGTATGTTATAACTATATCAACATTAAAAACAAACATAAAAAGCGAGAAGGAAGAGTATCGAAGGTCCAATTGGCAATCAAGAGTTTAAATGGAAGCTCTAATAGTGGTTCCAAGCTGTAATGGAAGCATACAAGTTGAGAACCTAACCCATTTTGATTCTGTTTTAAAAACAAACAGAACTCTAATACAAACATAAATGAAAAATGGAGAAAGAAGATGAACACAAAATAAGAACAGGAAAAAGGGGACGGACGATGAACAACCCTATGAGATGATATGATACTGGAAGAAGGAAAATAAAAAGTAATTACATCTAATGAAATCGGTAGAGGAGCCTAACCCTATCGATACATGGAATTGAATCAGGAGGAATCATGATACTGGGAGTTTGAATCGTCGTCCTGGGAACTCAATTTATGAATCGTCATTTGGGAGAGAAGTTTGATAGGAGCGAAGTGGGAGAGTCGTGTTTGGGAAGGTGATCAAAGTGTTGTATTGGGAACCAAAATTCTGAGTGCAGTATCCACAACTTGTACACCAAGCTTGTAAGATTGTTTTTAAGACTCTATGTATAAAGAAGTAGTACCTTATGCATTCAAGGTTGGTTTTAAGATTTTTATCAAATCTGCTTTATAAGGTAGTATAGATAATATTTGAATTTGTTAAAACAAAATTTAGGAAAAAACTATTATTTATGATATAAAATAATCATTACATATGATATGATAAAAAAACAAAAACAAAAAAGGTCTACCTCACATGTCCTAATTAATTAATATATTTGATGATTAAATTATATATTTTATTCATATTATTTAACACAATTTTATTATTTATGAAACAAAATAAGTATAATTTTAATTTTTATGTTACATAAACATTATTAAAGTTGTTATATTTACGTAATTGTAAATAATTAATAAGTATAACGTGTAATTAATATTACTTTTCAATTTATCTTAATTAGTAACTACTATTTATTAATATTAGTAATATTTAAATTTTATTAATATTTATCATAATTAATATTCATGAGAATTATAATTGGAAAAACGGCAATAACCCATCAAAATGTTATTCGAAATAACGTTTCAATAAGTTAGTTTATGTATATCTAAATATAAACTACCTTATTTTTATCAAATAATACCTTAATAGAAAACCATCCAAAAATCAAATATTATATTTTCGTAAACTATCTTATTTTTATCAAATAATACCTTAAAAGAAAATCTAGCAATCAGAAAATCAAATATTACTTTTTTTTAAAGAAAATAAACGTTAGACACCGCCTGAATCTTTCTTTATACGGGTGACGAAAGCAAAGGGCACAACACTCACAAAATAGACCTAAAACAAACGATATCGTTTCCACTGTTCTTGTTTAAGCATTGATGTTATCGACCAAATAACCAACAAAACATACCCATTCCTAACCCCTTCTCATAATCCATTTCTTCATCATAAGCCATACCCACTTTCAATCTTTCTGGAAGCCATGTCTGCAATCTCGAATTCATCGCTGCTTTTACCCAAGAACAGATCAGACCAATTATCATCTGGTATTTTCTAATTTCATCAACATTTTCTTATCACCGTTGTTCTTTCGGATTCAATCTTTGTTCTTGAACTAATTGGATGTACTTTCTTCTTTCGGATTTAATCTTTGTTCCTCAACTAAATCGAATGTAATTTCTTCTTTCGGATTTAATCTGCGTTCATGAACTAAATTGGGTGCAATTTCTTGTAGGAGTAGGAAGTGATGATTTTACGGATTCATTTTCCATATCTCCTGTATTATATCCATGTGTTCCTTAACTTTATAAACCCTAATCTTTACTTCATCTACAACTGTTAAATTTACATCTTAGAGTCAATTTGGGAGAAGAATTGGAGAGTAGAAGAATAGGGTGGAATCTTTTTACATGAATAGGTTAATAGTTTTTTTAAAACCCAAGCGTAAACCAAACCAAACCAAACGAACCCATTGAATCCACAGGGAATAGGTTTTAGGGAGTGTAGGATGTACGGAAACCTTACCTATACTTTTGACTAGAGGAGTAGATAGACTGTTTCCATGAAGACCGTAAAAAGGCTCTTAGAAAAAGGTTTAGCGAATAGAAGATAGAACACAACATCTTTCTAAAGACAAAATGGTTAGAGCTGAAATGTTATTGTATTTGTGCAAGTATGTTATTGTGTGTATACGAATGCCATGTGGAGTTCGTTTCCGTTTTCATCTTTGATTTTTGAAATTATGATGTTTGTGTAGAACTGAAATGTCAATTACAATGGTTTCAAATGGTAGTCACTATCATGCTAAAATGCAGACAGATACTCATTTTGGTTCTTGATGAAATGAGGTGCATGAAATAAGATGTTATTGATGTCAGAAAATAGTTGTTTCTACATAGAGCAACTCTGGTGAACTAATGCGCCTTTGTGAGATTGGAGAGGGAAGTCTGTATGCTGTTTTCCCCTTGTTTTTTTTAGAAATCGACTGTTTTTCATGATTTAAAACATGGTCTATTTGCATATCACACGAACAAAATGGAATTGATAAAAATGGATTATATCGAGAGGCAAAGGATTCATTGGTTTTCCAGTTGTTGTATTTTGTCAACAATTTGGGCGGTCAATAGTGGTGCTATAGCGGTTATGATTTTTGTAGTTGTCATCTTTTTTTCGTCTAACTTGTGAATTTTCAATTTTTTGGTGGAACCCTTTTTGTTGATCGAAAAATAAATAAATGATGAGTGAAATGTATTCTATTTGTAATGTTGAGGGTATGTCACTATGAGCTAAAAAGTGATAAATAGTATAGCTTTTGAAAGGGTATAAGAATTGTTTCAATTTATTTGTATATACTGATACGATACACAAATACTAATTTGAAAATTTCCGTTAAGTGGGTGACCAAGGGTTTAATGTCGACCTTTGTAATTGCTTTCCTCTATCCGCATTGTCAGTCTCCTGTAAACCCTTTCTTACTGTTTAATCTCGACCTTTCTTATTTAGGAATGTAATTATCTGTGATATGCAGCTCTTAACATCTATGGTTGGAAATTTTGGACAATGATTAAATTTTGGTGATGTAGGTTCCTCTGTAAAGAAACTTGATCAGGGCTTCACCAAATTATCGTTTGGGCAAAGTCGTGTTGGTAATTTGCAATTGCTCACATCCAAAAGGACATTCTCTATCCAAGCAGGATACAGGTAATTATCGTTTGAATTGTTGATCATCAAGTGTTTCTTTCAAGATTTAAGTTTTACCAAATGCAAGATTAGTCTTACGCTTGTTTTCCATCACCTGTTCTCCGAAAATGACCTCTATATATCCCTCAATAATCTCCATGTTATTTGGAAGGCTTAGTAATGGCCGTAAAGGCTTTGCATTAGAATATATCACCATATGTTTCTATCAAACCAAACAGACCAAGTAAAACCCACACGAGTAGGGTCCACCCGCGGGGGGGGGGGGGGGGGGGTCAATGTTCCCCCCCCCCCCAAAAGAGGGAATTTACTGGTTTGGTTTGGTTTACACACACAATGTGGATGTTCTAAATCATATATTTTCTTTTCCTAGTCAGTTCTTTTAAAGGTGGAAGAATCATTATGCTAGATGAGTGCTTTCTTCATTTTATGTTTCTCTTTGTAAGCCTATGGACACTTTATACACAAGTCATTACTTTTTTTCATTTTTCAGTGATGATGGAAGATCGAACAGTGGGAGTGCCTTCGTTGGTGGCTTTGTTCTAGGGGGATTGCTTGTTGGCACACTCGGTTGCATATACGCACCTCAGGTTTGATTGGTAAATTTGGCAAATGAATTAATGTTCCATCACATTTTCATCGATATATAGACAAACCAAACGAGCCCAATATATCCCAGCCGGAGGTGGGGTCTGGGGAGGGTGGGATGTACGTAGACCTTTACCTCCATCCCAAAATGTAGAGCGATTGTTTCTATGAAGACCCTTCCCGTGTGAAAAATGTGTGAAAAAAGAGAGTTTGCTCCCCCCCCCCACAAAAAAAAAATGAGTAAGGAGCAAACAACAACATACAAACAGAGGTAGGTACAAGAAAACCTGAAGGAAATACAATTTTTCTTTGATATATACAAACTGTAATACATTCTTGCCTGAAACTCGATTATAGAATCATTATGTATCGAGTCTAATTTTTGACAGATAAGCAAGGCACTAGCGGGAGCCGACAAAAAGGAGTTGCTGAGGAAGCTGCCCGACTTCATTTATGATGAAGAAAAAGCTTTGGAGGTAGACAAACTCTAACCAAACTTTTGCTAAAGAACTGTGCCATGTAGCTAGGCATGGGAATGGACCCCGACCTGTCGGGGAACCCGGTCCACCCGCCCCGGTTGGGGACGGGGATTCCCCACTAAACCGGGGACGGGTATGGCACTCCCCACCCCGCGCTGTACCCGTTATATATATATATATATATATATATATATATATATATTAACAAATTATACATATTATTTATTTCAACTTAAATCGGTGATCCATAATTTTCTAGTTCCTAACTAGATTTAGAATCTAAAATTGTTATTTTTTTGGATGTTAGTATATAATATATTGGATGTCAAGTCAACATATAATTACTCGGTATATTTTGGATATTACTCGATATGGTTTGATATTACTCGATATATTATGGTACGTGTGACATTAAGTTTTTCTTTGAATTAAATTGAATTTATTTTGGTTTTAGGTTTATTAGAAATATGTGAGGTCTAAACATGTGTGGATTCTTACATATTTGATTTAAATTAGCATACATAAACGGAAAAAAATCCCCGTTTCTCCGTTGGGGATCTCCATTCTCCGATGGGGATGGGGATGTGATTGTATTCCCCGGCGGGAAAGGGGATGGGGATTGAGGTCCCTGCCCCATCGCCGCCCCATTCCCATGCCTACATGTAGCTTGTATTTGGAGCTTATTGAAAAAACCCGTTTGGTTGCTTATAAGCTTTAGCTATTCGAAGAACTTCAAGTAGTGTTTCAGTAAACTCCAGTGCCTTTTTTTCTTTGTCTTTTCAATCATACCCCTTATATTGTTCCATTTTTTTCAACATGTTTTTTAGGTTATCTTACATTGTCATCTAGCTTATGAGTAAGTTTTTACCGAACATGACTATTTTATCTGCTAGCTTATTAGGCCTCGGGGTTCCTCCCCATAGGTTGTCAATTCGAATCTTCTTTGGGCCAATGAGGGTTTTCGTGGTTGTTATCTTTAAGGTCCCGTGAGATTAGTCGAGCTCGAGATGCACGCAAGCTAACCCAGACACCCACTGCTGCCACATAAAAAATATTGATATTCTTGCACTTACCTAATATGATTGTTGCAGAAAACACGCCAAAAATTGGCGAAGAAGATAGCAGAGCTGAACTCGGCTATAGATGATGTATCATCTCAGTTGAAATCAGATGACGACGAGCCTGTTACTAATAATGGTGTTGTTCCTGATGAATCCGAAGCTCTTGCCTAAGAATATTAGGATTGTGTTCTAATTGTTCGACTTTTGATACCGAAATGTTTGATTTTATAATTTTGTATGTTAACATGTGGTGATGTTGGTTTCATATTGTTACAATTTGTGTTTTGCTTTATGCTTGTATTGCCATGGTGGTAGGGCTGCCCTTGTAATGGGTCAGTTTGACTAGTCAAATTCCAATTCTTTTGAAAGATTCGTTCATTACAAAGATATTTGCGAACCAAAATCCCCATTAGCGTTAAAAATACATGAAACCCATCTTATCTTCTAAAAAAACATGTGTTCCATCTTTTAACCTAATTAATAAACTTGTCAGAGGTATCTGGTACTGTCCTCTTTCGAAAAATAACTACCTTCTGATTTCATCCTTTAGCCTAATTTATACACTATAATGTAATTAAGTTATTACTTCTTTCTACTGTGATAAATCAACAGTTTAAATTTAATATCAATCTTTTTCTCTCTCGGTGTAGGTCTATGCCTATATGTGACCATCCTACAATTTTACTAAATTGTGTTCCTATTTTTTTCTCTAGCAGTTGCATATGATTATCATGCCTTCTGGCTGTAGTCCTACAACCACATTAAACATGCTAATGTTTCGTCTTTGGCATAGAATTATGTTGACCATTGGGTGTAGCTCGTAGTCATCCATCTCTCGTCGCAGTGACTTTTGAAACCTCCACGTAACATTATAAACTTACTAATAATAAAAGGCAAATTATTGGAAAAATCATCCAACTAACATAAGGCTATGTTGGTTAAATAGAAGAAAGCATATCAAGAACATAATGACGGATTTTACTTGTCAAGTGTCACAATCCTTCTGTAGCGATGGACATGGATGTAAACATTGTAACCATAGAAGAAAACAGATCAAGAAAACCCCCCTTGTAGTAGAGAGAAATTAGAATCCTTTGTGGCGTATGACTTTGAGAATGATCAAACAGACTTTTATCACCGGTTTCACTTTAACGAAAATGATGACACATGTAGTGATCATTGGTTGGTACTAGGCACCTTATTTGTCACAAAAGTCTAGGGACTGATTTTGCATTTAATGTATAGTCAGGGGGCTATTTGTGTAATTAATCCCAATTAAATGCAGTTGATGATAACAGACGATACGGAAAAGATTTAGGGGTAAAAAGGACAGCAAACATAAGTTGTCTTGAGAGTATTACAGATTCTTTACAAAACCCCACTAATCCGATCGTCAGAGCAAATTGAAACCCCCCTTTTTTGTATTATTCTGGATCACTTTACTGAAATGGTGTATAATTGAGAAGTTATCTCACGATAGAGAGGATGAGAGGATCTTTAATTTCACTTTTGCGCTTTTTGGCCGTAATTCCAGCGACATTTGGGGCCCTATCGGTCCTCCCGCCGCCGTCAACGACTTCCAGTTCCTCTATTCCGGATCAACTTCAGCTTCCGCCGCCGCTGCCAGCGAAGATCAACTCAACACCGTGAGTAGTTCTATTGATTTTGCTTTAATTTGAAGGAATTTAAGATGTTTGGATTAGGGCAGATTGTTAGTGCTTGAATTAGATCTGGGATGGTTGATTATAAGTGTTCTATTTTATTAAAACGATTTTGTATGTTATTTTGTTTTATCTTGTAGGTATCAAAACCAATTTGGCATTTCCATTTCATTATATAATTACTAAAAAAACATAAAGATTGCTGCTTTTTCTCAGTAGAAATGCAAATCTTCCCCCTCGAAAGAGATTAAGAAGAAGTTCATACCTTTTTTCTTGTATTGTATTTCATGAGATATGCAGGAATTAACATGTAAATCAAACGATGATGATATTTCCAGAATTTTTAGAAAAACTTTTTGGGCTTTCTTACAATAGAGCATAATTATAAGTTTGGTTTTCTTGCCTAGTTTACTAATAACATAATAACATATACCTTGTAAAAGAACCAATGCTTGTTTTAAAACTTAGAAATGCTGGAGAAAGCACATGGAGATTAACTGATCAATTTTCCACACCAAGGAGTACTAGTCTCTTTTTTGAGTTCCAAGTGGCCTATTCTTGAGGACTGACAGCTGCTAGATTAGGGAAGCTCAGTAGAAGTAGAATGAATGGAGATATTGGTATATCGTAATTTACTTCATCCAATTTACAGAAGTAGGATTTTCAAGTTTGTCTCTCAACATAAATCATAATAACTAATATGGGTTGGAATATATAGGTCTGGAGCCCTGGACAGTTCATAACAAAAGCTTAATTTCAGCATCTGCTGATGCTTTTCCTGAAGTTGAAGAGTGCATATCAAGCGTTTCCAGCTTGAATAAGCCATAATAACTGATGTGAGTTGGAATATATTGAAATATATAGGCCTGGACAGTTAACATAACAAAAGCTTAATTTGAGTGCTTTTCCTGAAGTCGAAGAATGCATATCAAGCATTCCCAGCTTCAATAAGTCATAATAACTAATATGGGTTGGAATATATAGGCCTGGAGAGGTAACATAACGAAAGCTTAATTTCAGTATCTGCTGATGCTTTTCCTGAAGTTGAAGAATGCATGTCAAGTGTTCCCAGCTTGATGAGATGAAATATTGACAACAACCAAATCATACCTGATTGGACAAAATAGAAGGTAGCTGTAAGTATGGAAGCCTCTTCTTGATCCACATGTACCCCAAAAAAAATCTTGTGAAATCCTGACGGATTTTGAAGGTTACCGTGTATAAAACTTATCCTCAAGAGATGCCATTATGAAATAGCATTTCTAAGTTCCAACCACAGCAAGCAATGAAGCATGGCCTGGATGTGCCTTGAAAATGCCACACGGCCTCATACCACCTTTTTACCCTCTTCGGCATGATTTTAAGTAACAATCAGAAATTGATGAGTCGATGGTAGGATTTGTTTGCAGGAACACTGCAAGCTAACACACAACACTTCAGTAACTGAATCAGGCTGTAGAAATGCTCAAAGCATCATTCCAGGCTAACACAAATAATCGATGCCAATCACAAACAACTGGGGTGGAGAGTCGGGAAAAGAGCAAACCACGGTGAATTAGTTCATAAACGCAGTTGGATTTAACTTAATTTGATGATTGACCTTTGGGAACATAGTGGTTTTGGAGGGACTTCCAATATCTAGGTGAAGTGATTGTGAGAATGCAGATTGAGCTGGACTTGTGTTTGAACTTAGGGAACAAAGTGAGTGCAAAAAGGTTTTAAAATATCTGTGACTGTATTCACAATTGAAATCTGAGATTTTCACCTGCGTAAGAGAGTCCTTGAAATTTCTTTAGATGGGATCACTAAATAGGTTTAATTTGACTAAAATCTAAATTTTAAAGTAAATAGAAATTTGAATAAAAAATACAAACTACTTCAAATTTAATATATCTAATCAAAATTTGATCTTTGTCTGCTGCGAAGATGCCAAAATATGTTTGATGATGAACAAATATTTTTCTTTCTTTATACAAAGTAAATCAATATAGGATCCATTCACTACTTCATCAAAAGAATTGAATTTTTGTTTATTGAAAGAACTTGAAAGACAATAGATAAATTGATACTATGCGTCGTTAAATAAGAATCAAACTTTCAGTGCTACAACATCATATTATTACCGAACATATATTTTAAGAAACCAAATTTAACATAATAATGTAATAAGACCCTAATTGCAAGTAATTCTATTTCTTATTGGAAATTCAAGTCTTTTGCTCGTTTGCATTCTCCATAACAAAACACAGAGAATTGTTATTTAAATAGTGGAATCTTTAAGTCCACGTAGTCAGGTGCTAACTTAGAAAAAGTATGTGCATGCATTGGTGCTCTTCTATGTCTCTATTGGTCTCACCCACCTATGAAACACAGACAATAAAACAGAAAAAATCAAAAAAGAAAAGTTCTATACTTTCTACAGGTCATGTTTCAGCCCCAATTAGTTGGAATAGAGTTTAATTCGCTTTAACCCCTCTATCATAATTTTATCTTTTGAATGTCAACTTATACTTGAATACTCAAGATGAATATGAATTTTTATAATGTTTTCACATCAGTTTTTGTTTCTATTCTCAGTACTTGTGTGCTTAAGTAATTTCATTTCTTGTTAGAAATTAAACAATATCATATTAATCATGAAGTTGAAGTAGTTAGTTCAACTCTTAAAGCTAAAAGAGGAGAGGGCACTTATTCTGGGATGAAGGAGGTGCTCAACGCTACTACAGTTTCAAGAAAACCTGGAATAAAACTAGCTACTTTGGAGTTTGGTCTGAATAAATGCACCGTGTTTGCTTCTTATTATACATGTGCATGCAGTTGGCATGATAGTAGTCATTGCTAGGATATGATGTAAGCAATGTTATATGACAATAATGTATTGTTTCTCAAGTACTTTCTTTTCTCTCTGTACATATGCATTCTTTGGTCTTGGCCTTAACATGGATGCAATTATCTTATTTGTATTTTTGTGTGACATTTGCTTGCCATGAGAATGGAATTACGTCCTTAGTAATGGATTGTCATACCACCTTTGAAGTTTGTCATGAAAACTTAGTCCTGGCAGAGTTTGGCATACGTGAATATTGAATAATTTTATATATGATGTCATTATGTTATCTCTTATGCCATGTTTGCCATTCAGTAAACAGGATGCTATATTGGTGGCTGCTCCAGATGGCACGTTATATCAAGTGGATATCAGTTCGGGGAAAATTCTTTGGTCCTTCCCATCTGGTGCACCAATTTATGATTCAAATCAGGAACTTAATTTGGAGGATGATGAGCACAATTCCTCTAAACAGCATAATAAGTTCTATATAGATTGTGGAGATGACTGGCAACTCTACATCCATGGCAAGAACTCTAAAGCAGAGGTGAGCAAATACACTATGATCTACTTTGACTTACTCATGTTAATGTAGCTTTGTTTCAAGATGTGCTATTATGGGACATTTAGTCTTGGATGCTTGAATTAGAGGATTTTCCAGGATATTAAAGTTTGACCATGATTCTGCATAGGTGTTTGAAAGTTTTTGAGTGAAATCATAAACACAAGACTTTTCCTCCCCAAAATAAAGTCTTTTGTAAATTTTGCAGCTTTGTAGATTTTTTGGCTCTGCTACTGAGTATTTCCATCCTTGATATTCTCTATGCGGAAAATATTTTTGACAAGAGTAGTTAACTTTTTTAGCCATTGTACTTGACCACTCGTTGGGAAAGAAAACATTCATTTTTAATAAAATGCATAAAAACACTATATTTCGTCAAAATGAGCACTTTTAGACACAAAGTGCCAAGTACAATGTCTTCTCTTTGTTCATTTATATTCTGACAATTTGTCTAATCTGTAAACCTTACTGTATAGCATTTTTCCAAGAATGATGGTTTGCACCAAAAAACCAATTATGATAATTCAAAAAGCCGATCACTTGTTTTAACGATTGCTGACTGATGAGATTGAACCTGCTAATAAATATGTTAACGTGCATGAGTTACAGGGTGTTTTACAGGGGATTATAGCCTTCTTATACCATTTAATCCACCATAACCTCTTGTTTTTTGGTACCCTAGAAACTTCCATTTGGTGTCGAAGAATTAATTGGACGTACACCACATGTTTCAGTTGATGGAGTTCTGTTAGGGTCTAAAAAGACGACCGTATTCCTTGTTGATCCCCAAACTGGTAATGTCGTTTATACTTTCAAGTCAGATGGGGGTCAGAGTTTCAAACCGAATTCTATAGTACTGAGAAAAGATGCCGAGAAATGGAAGGAGCCAACCATGTTGGAATTTGACCCAGTTGACCATGAGCAGCTGCTCTACATCAAGAGGTTTGATTATGAGCTAACTTATTCTTCATCAACAACCGGCAATGTTTTGTGGTATCTGATGTTTGCTGATTTCGAGGCTTCTCGACAATGCCGTGGCTCTAATAACTTCTTAGGGGGAATAAAGGGTGATGCTCAGTTACAAGAGTTTTGTCAGTCAAACCCTCGTGTTTTTCGAGCCCGTGATCCCCGCGAATTGGAGTCAGTTTTTATGGTTAATAAGATACAAATGTCCCTCCATGGTGACAAAATGTTCGCTCTACCTCCTCCAGAGGATGAAACGAGTTTTCTATCTGCTCCAAATCTGCTACCAAAATCTCTGATCATCAATCAAGAAACACCATATCAACTTGTTCCATATCTGCCACCTGATAAAGCCATTGATGAGTATCGAACTAATGTCAGCATCCCTCCTGAATATCCGGCAAGTTTTCATGTGTGGTTGCGCGGTTGTTTGGTTGCGGCCCTCTTTTTCTTCATACCCCTAATTTTATACTGTTGGAATTTCTGGAGGAGGAAACAGAATAAGCTAAATGAGCTGGCTAAAGATGCTAAGGTGCAAAATGTAACATCAAAAAAGAAGAAAGCCCGGAAATCTGGAAATAGTAGGCTCTATACCAATACTGAGAAAATAGTCAACGGGCTTCGATATCCTGAGATAAGTGAAACGAGTACTAACCGTAAAATCGGTAAGTTATTGGTTTCCGACAAAGAAATTGGGAAGGGGAGTAATGGTACTATCGTACTGGAGGGAATTTATGATGCTCGGTCCGTTGCTGTGAAACGAATTGTAAAGGTGCATCATGACGTTGCTTTGAAAGAGATTCAGAATCTTATTGTATCTGATCAGCATCCTAACATTGTTCGATGGTATGGTGTGGAGTATGATCAAGATTTCGTTTATATTGCTCTCGAGCGTTGCATCTGTAGCTTACATGAATTGGTATTGTCACACACCAATTCGACTGTCCAATTGCAACTGACAACGAAACTTCTCTCGGATTTCAAATTATGGAAGCCCAATGGGCATCCTTCGCAGGTGTTGTTGAAAGTAATGAGGTTAGTCAAAGCCGTATAGTTATGATATATGCAGTCAACGGATACCCTTAAATTGTCATGAAGCCATTTTTGTTTGATTTTACTGATTAACGGGGCCTTCTTAGCAAGTTGCAAAATGCAACAAGATTTGGCTGAATTCCTTTTTAGTGTAAAGAAGAATTTTCGTTTTCTCAATTAGTGTAAACATAGTTTCAAAATTTTCTATCTTGTACCCATTTTGACCGGTAATATGTTGATCTTGTAACATTTGATAACATGGATACCCGTTTACGGAATGTTTGCGACGAAGTAGACAATGAACTTGGCATCCATGTCATCAATGTTGCACAATGAGCAAGTTACCGGTCAAAATGGGTAAAAGATAGGGAATTTTGGAACTTAATTACATTGATCAAGGAAAAAAACACTTTGTTTAGTAGAAACCATGGCAAACTTAGTTTGCATTTTACCTTTCTTTGAAGTTATTCTAGCTCATGGTGCTTAAAAAATGCAGGGATACGGTTACCGGACTTGCTCATTTGCATGAACTTGGAATCATTCATCGGGACCTAAAGCCTCAAAATGTCTTGATACGCAAAGATAAGTCTATTAGTGCAAAGGTCTCTGATATGGGTATTAGCAAACGCCTACCTGCTGATATGTCTTCTTTAACCAAGAGCGCAACAGGCAAGTAAACTTCTTTACAGATTTCAGTGATGTTTATTTGAATTCATTTTAATGCCAATTTCGCATACATGCTTTAAACACAATTATTTTCCTCTGCCCTTTATTTGTCGTTTTGTGGGTTTCATCTTTGTTCTCCTGGTGAGTACTTCTCGAGCCACTGGACTTGGCTTCTCATTTCTAATAAAATATCATTCTTAGCAAAATGCAAAAAAGCAAAAGAAAGAAAGAAACTCCACACTCAATCTTTGTAAACTGAAGTGCTTTTTTGGCACTTCACAAGAAGTATAGTTGGTTTGCTACGAAAATCAGGTACATGATTCATGATCCAATCACTCATCAAATATGATTTCCACAATCATATCTTTTCTCGTCTCATACCACATACTTGGATCCACAGAATTAAAATGCTAACGAAGATAACAAATTGACCCATCCGAGGTTAGACTAGGTGGGGTGTAGTTTCCATGGTTATGTTTTTCATGTATTCGTTTCTATCTACATTGCTGTTGCTTATAGCTCTCAAGATTTTAATGCATCTGTCTTCCTCTTTTTCTATTTGTATTGTTTACTCATATCTAGCTTTTCAATTTTTAGCATTTCTGTATTCCTCCCTTTGACACACTTTTCACTAGCAGGGGGTCTTCACAGATATAGCCGTTCTACAGTTTAGGGTAGAGATTAGGTCTGCTTACATTCTACCCTCACCCCCCACTCCCAAGACCCTGCCTCGGGTGGGATATACTTGGCTAGTTTCGTTTGGTTTAGAAAAGCATGTTGCTTTTAACACTCTACCACTATTACTTTCACGATGTGCTTATAGGAACGCTGAACTTTCAATAATTCTATATGGGTTTCTGAATCTTATCATCTTTATGCCATTTGCATATAGGTTATGGCAGTTCGGGTTGGCAAGCACCCGAGCAACTTCGCAATGAACGACAAACCCGAGCTGTGGATTTATTCAGTTTTGGCTGCCTGCTTTTCTTCTGTATCACTGGTGGTCGACACCCATTTGGTGACATGCTTGAGCGTGATATAAACATTGTAAATGACCGAAAAGATCTCTTTTTGGTAGATAATATTCCTGAAGCTTTCGACCTCATCTCCAATCTTCTACATCCTGACCCAGAATTCAGGTATGAAGCCTGTTAGTAAAATATCGATAATACCTTTCACCATGATAAGACTATGGTGAAAGTAGTTTAAACAGACTTTCTTATATTAGCCAAATATCGAAAATTTATTGCGTGAAAGTATTTTAATTAAAATCAACATCTATTAGTGAAATATCTGAAATACCCCTGACCGCACCTCGATATACTCGGTTTCTTTGGTTTGGCTTGGTTGGACTTTGGATTTGCTTGATTTATATATGATTTTATTAATTGTATCCAGACCAAAAGCCGCAGAAGTATATAATCACCCTCTCTTTTGGGATTCAGAGATGCGTCTCTCGTTTCTTCGAGACGCTAGTGATCGTGTAGAATTGGAGGATCGTGAGACCGATTCCAGTCTCTTGAAATCACTAGAAAGCATCGGTACAGTCGCTCTAGGTGGCAAATGGGATGAAAAATTAGATAACACCCTCCTCAACGACATCGGCCGTTACAGAAAGTACAAGTACGATAGTGTCCGTGATCTATTACGAGTCATAAGGAACAAGCTGAATCACTACAGAGAACTCCCGAAAGAACTCCGAGACGTTTTAGGCCCGGTTCCAACAGGATTCGAGTTCTATTTCAGTAGCCGGTTTCCGAAACTTCTGATGGAGGTATACAAAATACTGCAAAAATATTGTGGGGAAGAAGAATTCCTCCATAAGTATTATAAACAAGGTCAGTTTTAACTTAAAAGTGTCAACTGTTTGATCTGTTTTTAGGGTATTAGACTGACCCTTTTGATCATTTTATCAAATGTGACATGCTGTATATATTATCACCAATATATATTTTAGAAATCGAAAAATCGATTCATAGTATTTGTGTAGTTCTTTTTGTAATCGTGTTTATATTTACATTTCATTGTTTTTTGAGTAAATTGCATGAAAATGTAACTTATTTTTGTTTAATTCCTGTTTTGGGAACGTGTTTTCACGTTTTCATCTTTGAATCTGAGATGTGACATCTCAAACATGTAGGTACCTTGTTTACCTGATGACTTGAAAATGCTGAATAAGATCAGGAATTTGTTGATGTGCTTCAACAAAAGTTGAAGAATTGCAAGTTGAAGTGTGCATTGATACAATATATGCAGTCGACCGACCTCAAGCACGTACACGAACCTAGCGAAGGATACGCTAGACGCAAGGCCCTAGGAAATGAGGAAACACCCGTTCTACCTTTTGGGTTGCAGGACATATTTGGGTACATCTCTCAAGACTATTTTCGAGTGGGATATACTGATGGAGTGGATTAAGAACGGATGAGTTCTCATTAGGAGATGTGGCCTATGCGATCGGGAGATTGACCACCGCTATTGACCTTCGTTTGAATAGAGGCAACTGTAGCCGAGCCGCTAGAATTGCTAGCGCTGTGAATCGAGCGATATCCTTCATTGCCCCTTGTGAAAGGAGACTCGGATCGACATTATTGCAACCAAAATTTGACTCTGAATGTCATGATCTTTGAATACAAATGATAATTATTGAATTGAAAACCGATTTGAATATGATGAAAAGTATTTTTGCTGGAATGAGTCTTTATACCAAAAACCAAATCAAATAAACTCGGTATATCTCACCTAAAGTGCGTTTTGGAGTGGGCTATATACATACATTTTCCATCTTTTAATGGTTATAAAGATGTGTATCACGAGGACTTTTCAGGAAATCATCCATTTTATTACTACTCTCTCTTAAACATGCTTAACTACGGGATTTGAATTTTAATAGGATCTGATGCATGAATGCTGGAATAATCACAAAAACTAAATATTACTTCAAAAAAAAATTGAACAATAAAACATTATGTGTACTGCATTTTGACGTTAAATTTGAATCAATTATCCAACATAATTCTTTTTATTTGAATAAATAAAAAATAAATTTTATATTACTTCAAAAGAAATTATATCAACGTGTTTTATCTCTTTTATTCAACGACAATCACGTTTTTTATTTGGCATTAAATGACGATAATGATAGGAATAAGAAGTCAAAATTACATGTTGGAAATTGTCTTTCCCCTTAAATTCAAATTCAAATTCAAATTCAAATTTATAAATTCCAAATAATTACAAAATAATGTATCATATTCCTTTTTCATATCACAAAAAGAATTGAAAAACGATTTCATAGTGGGTTCAGACTTTTCAAACCCATTTTAGATCCTAAAAACGTATAATTGGACTTTTTTAGAAGCTGTTTATTTGCGGCTTATGAGTCTATTTGGCTTATTCGCACAATTCATTTGGGTTGTTTACTTACAGCTTATTTGCACAGAACATGGCTTAATCGTACAGATAGAATGGTGTGTTGCCCCTATTCAGCCACAAAAATGACACATCTACCCCTTATTTAAAGCACCGCCTTCTTCCCAGACGATACACCCCATCGTCGGCCTCTTTATGATTTTTTGTTTTGATGTTCAAATAATTAATATTAGAGATAAATCGGTCATTTATGTTATTCAGACTATTGGTTCACATAAAAAAAGTAAACAACAACACTTATTTATCCGAACAGACAAATTTATCCGGACAGACAAGTTTACCTATACATGACTTAATAAAATATTTGGTAAACAGTCCCTTAGACTTTTTCATGCCAAACCTGACCCATAAAAGTTCGGTCTAACCGGGTTTTCACGCTTGACCACCGGTCTTCGGGCTCATTAGGCCGAGTCTTCGGGCCGGTTTGTTTTTCAAAAAAAATCACTTAATTGCCTCTTATGTCTGAATCGGTCAGACGTAGAGGGATTAAGTGCGTTTGTTTTTTTTTTAAATTAAGTGCTTAAAACATCTGATTAGGTCTGATTTATTTAGAGGTAAAATAGAGTCTGAAAACCTCTTAACGCGTCCATCTCTCACTCTCGCCTACGCAGTACACGCTCCCTCTCCATCTCTCTCTCGCCTGCGTAACTCTCCGCCTGCGCCTACCGTCTTCGCAAAAAAACAAACGCGTCGTCTTCTACCTCTCGATCGGATGCACTGCCTCCTCCTTCATCTACCTCCTAGGGTTTTTCGGCATCGATTTCGTTCAATCCTTCGGAATCGAAGCTTGGGGACTGCCTTAGGGSTTCTTCGATTCGACGGCAGGCGTTGGAGAGGACGACGGGGAGGTCGTTGTTAGGKTTGCCATTGGAAGGATTCATATCTTGCCAACCTCTGCGTCTTTAAGAACCAACCCCTTTGACTTACGTTTACTAAGATACAGAGAAATGGAAACCTCCTCGAGATCAACACCCCCTTCCAACAAACCCYATTTTCAAGATTCTGAATGCCCAGATCTTCAATCTCCAATCGATTGCGAAAAGGGATCTGGGTTCTACAAGAACGAGGATTCATGGCCAAAAACCCACATRCAGAGAAAGAAGAATCATGTATTTCTTGAAGGGTATGTGGATGAAGAAGAACTCGTGAGAGCCAAGAGTTTAACGGATGAAGATTTATTGGTTGTTTGGTTGCGAGTACAAACAGGGGTTGCAAGGCTATAGATTTCTCTTTCTGGAAGACCCTATCAATTTTGATACTTTCAGCGTTTTGAATATTGATTCCGGAAGAAATTGCGACACAATTACAAAATGAATATTGATTTTAGTTGTTATGAGACTTTATTCGTGTTTTCTATTGTGTTTTGAATCAATTGACGTATTTCAATTGAATGTGTTAAAAGTATATGATAGTTTACAAAATGGTTTAAATGATTGGATATTTCAGTTAAATTTAATTGAAATGAATTGATTCAGATTTCAGACGTAAAAACAAACAGTCTGACTGATTCAGATTTCAGACTTCAGCACCACCTCTTAAAATTCAGAAGTGAATTCAGACTTCAGACTTCAGCACCTCTTAAAAAACAAACGCCACCTTCATGTTGGATTTTTTAATGGATCTCTAAATTATAGAATGTAGACCACACCTTATATAGAAGACTTGTAATATTGACTTTAAAAGGATATGTACAAATGATGCTTATTTCCATTCTAAATTTGAATTGATTTTATAGAAGTTCAGTTACAAATTTAACCGATACCTGTAAATCGCACATCGCCATCGGATTAGACTTTCCGATATAAGAACCTAACGCTCGTTAGCCAAGAAGTTGTAAACACTAGCCGCAGTATACTTTTTTGGATTGGTCTACCTTTGTTCTGAATCGTGTCCGGTCTCACAATCTTTACTCTCATCCGAAATCGACCTTTCCACTTTTTGCCTTTTCTTATCTCGAGGATCTTTCTTCTCGTCAATGATCGAAAGGAGTGTTTGAAGTCGTCGGGATCGGGACCCGTCAGAGTCGACTGTCGATCGAGCGACGTTACGAAACCGTCGAAATACCTGACAGAAGTATATGAAAATGGCGATGAAACACGCGACACCGCATATAAGGAAGAGACCCCAGAAACTTTTGAGGTGTAATCGGTCCGACTCGAGCTCAGAATTATCGGTGCTGCATCCGCTTCGTATTAGCCATTTGTCGTGGATCCGTTGGAGATCGCCGTTTTCTGATAGCGTAAGGATTGCGGTCGATAAGTCGACCGACAACGGAGAGTCACGCGGGAATGCCTGTAAAGTAAATTTGACTTAGTATCCGAATAAAGAAGGGAAAAATACGTTAAAATGCAATGAAGTTTGCCTTTGTTTCAGGTCAGGCTTCTGGCTTGGGCTGTTTTATGCATCTCTACTTAGAACACAAAGAACAAACCAAATGAAGAAGGAAACTTACAAAACCCCAGCCACTCTTGGTGAACTCGGTCCCAACAACCCGAAACGTGCACTGGTTCGACAAGAAAAGCTCGATATACGGACGTTCGTCAACTATGGCCGCAACTCCACCGTTCTTGGAGCCTTTTCGGAGTGCATCAGTATAAGCATCGGGTGTTCCAAGAGCCACAAGTCGGGATTGGGGAATCCCGATTTCGAGCAAATATCGTTCCGCAAAAGATCCCACTTGGTATCCAATCCGATCGTTGGTTTTTTTCAACGAATTTATCCCTTTGACTGGAGAAGATAGTTGTTGGACCGTAAGAATCGAAGTCAAACTTGCGGTATAACTCGAGTTAATGATTAGAACTACAAAAAGCCAAATGAGTAACACTATACGCCCGAGAGTACTTGCAGTGTTCTCTCCTGCATAAAAGAAAGCCGATCCTTAAGTTATCAAACCCACGCTCGTTGTCACTTTGACTTTTGAGGTCAACCATTTCGTCTCAAACGTCGAAATCGATACGTATTTCCTCACAAATTTGACACCAAAGTGTTCAGAAATATCATATTTATTAGAATATATCCATTTCTTAGGAAAAACATTAAATTTATTAAAAAAATTCATACCAATTGCGAAAATGAACATTACATAGTTTGACTTCAGAAGTCAAAACTCAAAATGCTAGTTGCATCTTGACTTTTGAGGTCAAACATGAAATTCAAAACAGATGAGTTAATTTAACACCAAAATTCTTCCCAATTGTAGCGTCTTATATAACATCCGATGCAATTATCACAATGGTCTTTAATTTTATAGGGAAATCATATCGATTTTGAGAAATAAACGTTAAGTCGGTTTGACTTCGAAAACTCTAACGGTGAGCCGGGTCAACGACTACATGAAAGAAAGTATTTTACTTACTATGTGCAAAAAAGAGAGTAGAAAGGCTGAACCTGCAAGAAAAATAAAACATTAAGTACCAACGGAGCTTTAAGCAGAAAGCCAAATTTTTTCCAAACCTATCCCTCTCCTTCAATCCAAGAAAAGACCCTTTCAAACAAAAATCTTTTCAATTTATAAAAACAGATTAATCCACAAAGACAACTTTATCCATAGAGGACTTAATGAAAAACAACCAAATAACCTCTTACTGTTTCTAAGGAAAAAGTCGTTCTACCTTTTAAGGTAGAGGACATGTCTGCATACATTCTACTCTCGTATCCTACTTCTGAGTGGGATATAATGGGTTCGTTTGTTTTGGTTTTATATACCGAGATATACATATTAGTATGTGAAAGAAGAAGAAAACTTACCATAGGATCGTTATGACTTGTCGTTTGGGAGTCCCCCTAAAGTCGTCGTTTATTCGGTGCTCTAGAATCCACACCACAATGCCGACGACAAGAAAGAAAGCCGCAGTCACCGCCCACAACGTTGGAGAAAACGGGCGTAGAAATGCCCAAGCACCTGTGTTCATTTTCTTAAACGGGGCCACGACAACAAGCCCTGATGCGGCATAAGGTTGCGTGAAATCAACAATTTTTGTTCGGTTCGTGACAATAGCGATGTCGCCAACCGCACCATCAAAAACCTACAATAAACATTTGATCAAAATAAATATCCACAATGAAAAATGCACACAGTTTTAAAAATGTGTAATTATTACATTTTTTATTTAACTAAATGACGATTTTACCCTAGTAATGAATTTATCCATCTCATAATTAAGGGGAGAATTGGAAAATAGCACTTACTTTTGAAAGCGGAGGCTTGTTTTGAGATAAACTAAAAAGAATGTGGACAATCATTTTGGGACGGAGGGAGTAATAAAAAAACGAAATGATTTAGTTGGATTTTGAACTCACCCCGGTTGAAATCAATCTTACGAGCTCGGTGTAGCTCGGGTTTTCTTTGCCGTTTCCGAATGGTATGAATTGATACGGCACCGCATACGGGAGCAAATTCACGGCCGCAACAAAAACGTCGATACAAAACCCTTTTGACATGTTAGTTCCCGGCAATTGTGAAACAAATTCCTTATAACTCACCCGAAGAGGCACCGCAATTTTCAGCAACTTCCCATTATTCGGAAAAACCCATCCCCGTGGCTTCGTCACAACCTCTCCCGGCCAAATTATGCTATGAAGTTCTTGATTCGCACTTGATCGATTAACTTGTTTCGAGTAAAGATTCTCGGGGGTCAAAGTCGACAAACCTGAACCGTTTGACCAGTATCCAACAGTTCGAATTCCGGTTCCGATTATGTTAATAATATCATATGCGGGATTAACAAGATTTCTATCGGAATCGAACTTTATATGCCCTGTTAAACCAACGAAATCACTCTTCCACATATTATCCAACAAGAGTTTTCCGCCATTAAAGATGCTCATCGCATCAAGATGAAGATCCGCAAAACCACCGGAGCTCAATCTTGAATCATTCGAAAACGAAACAATCCCGCCTTGATCAAAGAACGCATCAATAGCATGAGCTATAATCCAAACGGTATCATAAGCATATAAAGCGTAAGAATTTAGCCCAAAAGAACCACCGGTTAATTTACTCCATTTTGACGTAAACGCTTTCTTTTCAACGGAATCCGGTGTGTGTTGCCGCAAAGCAACAACCCCTTGCATATTCTCCATTTTTTCCAAAGGAAGTGGCAAACTCGAATCTAAAGAAGACGAAAGCCAATCTGTAGCAATCCAAACATACCCATCTGCCATCATCCCAAGATAACGAGCAACTGAGAACATCAAGTACCCCATATCGGGATAAACATGAAGAACAATCACTCGAGATTCCAATAACGCAACCTTCACAAGAATATCCATAACTTCAGTCCGCCCAAATCCAGGTCCAGGTGGGATTCCAACCTTATACGATATTTTGCAACGCTTTGCCGCTAATGCATCATCTAGTGCTAACACTCCGTTTCTTCCATAATCATCGTCTATAAAGATTGCAATAACGTCCCGCCAATTATAATAGTCTATGATTTCCGCAACAGCATTCATCTGGTACAAATCACTCTGCGTTGTTCTCACAAAATACGGGAACTGGAGGTTCGATAGGGTGGGGTCCGTGGCAGCGAATGATAAGAGCGGAACTTGAAGTTCGTTTGCTACGTGAGATATAATGTGGGCTACTACCGAAGATTGTGGACCTATAATCGCAATCGTGTCGCTTTCCATAAACTGTAACGCTGTAAACGATACAAAGGTAATCATTTAATATGCTACAAAGATTGTAAACTATTAAGCGTTGTTTGGTTTTTTAAGAGGTGTTGAACTTTGAAATCTTAGCAGAAACACTATGAGCTTCTCCATCTCACAAAAACAATGTTTGGATATATCGGACCTTTTGAATCTATTTCTAAAAGAGCCCTTTTCGGAATTTTGAAGCAAATGACCTATTTGCCCCTATCAGGTTCCTACATATAATACAAGTTTGATGGTCATTGTCTAGCCGATGTGGGACTCCAACAGTATCACAACACTCTTTTCAGAATCTTAAAGCAAATGACATATTTACCCCTATCGAAAATCATGCAACATAAGTTATGATTCATTGCGGTCCACAAGATTTACTTCTAATCGATCGTAGAGTTAAAAGTTAAGGTTTTTTTGAATCTCCACAAGAATTGCAGCAATTCCCTTTTCCGAATATCCCACAAGAACCACAACACTTTTTAAGTCAAATGGCCTATCAGCCCGCACGAAAATATCGATGCAACACTAGTTGTGGTCCGTTCAAGTCCACTACATCTACTTTCTTGTGGATTTAGAGTTAAAATGAGCGGCTTTTTTGAAAGTTTGGCTAATATTCAACTACGTATATTCGTGTACATTCAAACATTGCAATTCTTGTGAGACAGATATAGTGATATGAACAAGAGACGGGATATTTAGGTGAATGACCTTCTATAGAAGTCACTTTCACAAACATTTGTCGAGTGCTTTTTCAAGATTTTACAGGGGCAAAGTGCTTAACACCAATGTTTGATAGATCATGCTCCTAATTGAGAACCCGTCATTTAATTAAATGACCCACAAGATACGACGGTCTTTGAAGGAATCAAGATCATAAATTTACTTTAGAACATAGAAAAATCTACATAATTTGGTAGAAATTCATCTTTTTACCTCCAACCATGCCAAGAAACCCGCTACAATTCGAACTCCGCATTTCCAATCTAAGTTTTGTCCCACGAAGAACGGTTGAATTGGCATTGATGTCTTTGACAGCCTCCTCGATTGCAACCTTCGCAACTTTGCCAATTGTTGAATCAAAAGTGAAAATAGCTCCAATATTCACAATGGCCGGTCTTGTAGATGCATTGTGTGTGCTCAAACCATTTATCAGAAAAACCCCCAAATTTAGTAACACTAAAGCAACAAGACTCCATTTATGAACACCCATCTTTAATTATATTTCTATGATCTTATAGCCTTGATATCAATCATACTGAATTTGATCCACCTGAAAACACAATATTACACAATTTGATTAATGGGTTTCTAAAAATCTTGAAACTTGATTTCAGTTTCATGGTTTTGAACTCAAAATCTTGGAGAAATTGACATAAAAGATCCAGAAAATGATAGCAAACCATAGATGAACAGAGTTGGTCACTTACCAAGAACATCTCAGAGCTTTAAACCCTAATTAATCTTCAAGAAATCATCAAAAAGACCAATTCATGAAGGCTCCTAATCAATAAGAACAAACCCAAATGGGAAATGTGGGAATACCAAAAGCCAAATCACAAGTTGCAAGTAGGGTTCTTTCCTACACCCCACCCCACCCCCACCAAGAAAAAGGTTGAAAACAGAGACATCTTTATGAAAGAATCAGATTCAATGCCTAAAAAACATGATTTTTTAAAGAAACCTATGTCATGAGAAGAGCAAGAAACCTCAAAAGATTCTTAACTTTAATTGATTGAACAAAACCCCCAAAATAGAAGGGCAATGAAGAAGCAAATTCAACCCATTCATTACTATTTTAGGAAAGAATAAGTAAAAACCCTTTCAGTTCTATATTATTATCATCTAACTTCCAACGCAGTTCAATAACATACTAGGGTTTGGTGAATTAGGTTACAAAAAACAGTAGATATACCTGAAGTAGGTCTCTAATGTTGAATTAAAACACAGACAGATCATAAAAGTCCCTAACTTTGGTATCAAAAAGGCCCCATAAACATGTAAAAACTGAATTCACATGTGAATCAAGACAGGAAGAATCTATCTGTGGGCAAGCTGAAGGGGGTAACTGTATAAGAATTGATTCAAGTTTATAATAATGGATTAGATGAACTGAATAGAGGTATTTCAGTTGAATTTGTTTGATGGGTATTTGTGTAATTTTGTTGGGGGTGGATGGTACACAACTATAAGATGGCAGAAGGAAGGTTTGAGATAAATTGGGGATAAGGGAAGAGATGCATGGATCTTTAGGCTGAAGAAAGGAATAAAAATGGATTTGGATGCCATGGCATGTAACACTTCTTCTCTGTCTAAAATATTTATCAGTATTTTATTACATACAACACTAATTAAATAATTAAAACGCTTTTTAATGATTAAAAACTATTAGTGAAACCCACTTTAAAGACTTTGGTGGTGTTTTTAAATCAAGAATTCACCTAATTGGCTCAGAAAACATGGATTCCTCACCTTATTATAAATATAAATTAAAAATAAAATTAATATTCTCTGTATTTTAAAGCTATTAATTATTCGTTATAAAAAGATATTTTATTCATAATTAATGATTTATTCATGTTTTGTTCGTGTATTTTAAGTTGTTTCAGACAAAACACAATAAGTCCAATTGAAAAATATTTTAAACGAATATCAACCGCATAAAATCTAAAACATAATCTATAGCATATGAATGACACGGAACGCAAGTTTATTTTGAATGGTTAAGATACAATATCACTAAAATTCAACGATTGAAAGATACTATTATGTCGTCATTTTTCTTTCAAGTTCTAGTATCAAATATTTAGTAAAACTGATGTCGTCTATCTTCAAACATATTAGTTGTACCTCTTGAAGTTGTTTTGATCAAATTTATTAAAAGTCAGGACCCGATCAAATTATACGAAAGGTTTCAAACCAAGAACCCTAAGCCCAAATCTATTAAAAAAACACAGCTCATAAAAAACTTATCAGTCAAGAGACATACATTTTTATATCTTCTCACATGTCTTAATGACATACAATTGGTTCGTTTTTTTCTCCAACTATATTGAAACATTACAAACCAGCTCGATATTGTCTCGAGCCAATAATTATATAACTGTTATAAAAATTCTACAAAAATGTAGTATATTTTTTTCATTAACTATAATAAGCTTGGGGATAATGATATGTTTTACTTTCTATATTTTAATAATAAAATATGATTTTTAAACTTATACTAATTGATTTATGAAAAAAAAAAATTGATTAACTTGGATATTCAATCCGTTATGCAAGCCGACTAATCTCAGGATAACCACCTGTTTTGCAAATAGTCCAGAGTCATCGTATTTGAACCTTCGTGGCCACAAGGGGATTTTTATTTCTTCTTGGATTTGAATCTGGGACCTCCTGTTATTATTGACATTTGAAGTTAAGCTCAAACCAATCAGACACCACCCATGTGGTTGATTTATAAAAAATTTATGTATTTTGAGTCAAGGAAAAACTCTTTTCATGACATGTGATGCTTTCTCAACTCTTGCTTTCAAGAAAGTAGACACAGACCCACCATGGTTTTGGATCCTTACTGTTTAAGATCTCAATTTTTTGTTAAATCAAATAAAATAAAAATCCCTAAAAAATATTTTAAAATCTAAACCATTAAATGAATTTGATTTTAAACTATAACTTATATTGTTTCATATGTTTTATTATTTTAAAACTCATTACAAACTTCTAAAACTGTCAACAATGCAACACATGATATATTCATTATGAATATGAACATTTTATTCATCATAAACGTTGTAACATTGAATGTATTATTCATAATGAATATGGACATTTTATTTATCATATGATGAATAACACTTCTATATTCATGATGAATATTATCCTGAAAAAGAACACATAACACGTTGTGGACGGTTTCCAAGTTTCTAATCGAATTTGGGTTAATAAAGAAACTTCCGTCCCTAAATAAGAATTTATTTTTTTATGAAATAACTCAAAAGCTTGTTAACTTTTGCATATATTTTTGAATAACTTTTAATCGTTTAATTAGGGTTGTTTACAAAACACTTACACGGGGTAAACGCTTACCAAATCACATTACCTCATCAGATAAATATGGTAAGTACCAAAAATCTTACCTGATAAGAGCGAGACAATGACAATGAATCTTATTTGGTAAGTGAGAGCGACGACTCTTAAAAATGATAAGCGTTTACCGGGTAAATTGTTGTATACGATGTCGTTTTGGTGGACTTAGATCTTACCCGGTAAGATAAATAATAGTATTAAATTTTACAAATGTTTGGTAAATGACCTCTTAGTTTAGTTTTTAAATTTACCTATTTATTCTATTAAAAAAAATTGAAATATAGACCAAATAAACTATTACAAACGTTTTAAGGACTCCGACCGAGGTAACAAATTACAAAAGTACAAAACAAATGGAAATTTCAAAGGCTTGGCCCACGATCTATGGCTCCAAACCCATTTATGTAATAAATGGGCCTCTCAGTAGCCCAAATATATCGACAAAAATGCTAAATCTAGAATGGAAACCGTAGGAAATCGATTCCCGTCTCCAACTCCGCTCCCCGTTTATAAAACTTGTTCTCACCTTCCGCCGCGTCTAATCCCCATTGAGTTTGGAGTGAAGAAATCCTTGTTGGATACCTATTTAGTAAAAAGTAATAAATGTAAATGTGATATATATAGAGTTTGGTCTGATGAGAGAGGTGAGAAGAAATCTTAACTATTTAAGCAATCTTAATTGAAGATCAACATCAATTGCATGCACCAAGATATACCAGATTAATTCTCTTCTAAAGCACAATTCATGGGTGGTCATGAGATTAAAAATTGATCAAGAGTCTAGATTCCTTCTTATGCTTATCATCTTAACTCATATTCTCACACAATCCTTCTTATGTATGCATGCATGTATGCATGTATGTATGTATGTATGTATGTATGTATGTATGTATGTATGTATGTATGTATGTATGTATGTAGCCAAAGATTATTTTAAAAAGTGGTAAATATTTGAGAACTAAATAAGTGATCATTGCCCTTCATACGGTCAAGAGATGATTTGACTGGTCAATAATTGCGGCTATGGAAAAAATAGATGGGGTGGTTTCTTAACTTTTACAAATAGGTGGCAAATAGGTTCATATATGAACCTCTGTGATTCATATATGAACTATATGTTCATATGTGAACTCATGTAATTTACATATGAACTTGTGTGATTCACATATGAACTAATTAACTGACTCATATATGAACTTGTGTGATTCACATATGAACTATTTAACTGACTCATATATGAACTCATGTAATTCACATATAAACTATTTAACTGATTCATATATGAACTCATGTAATTCACATATGAACTATTTAATTGATTTATATATGAACTCGTGTAATTCACATATGAATTATTTAATTGATTCATATATGAACTTGTGGGTTCATATATGAATCAGTTAAATAGTTCACATGTGAACTACTTAACGGGTTCATATGTGAATCACATGGGTTTACATATGAACCCATTTGCCACCTATTTGTAAAAGTTATGAAATTATCACATCTATTTTTCGCATACCAATGCAAGGAATTACCAGGTGCTTTACGGTTAAAGCCACAAATGTTGACCAAATGAAGGGTTGAGATTACTTTTTTATTTCTCAAATATTTATCACTTCAAGTGAACCTTTCCCTATATATGTATATATACACACACACATAGACAAAGGATCATGTGAGAATGGAAGTTATGGTGAAAAATGTGAGAAACAATCTGGATCCTTGATCACTTTTAATATCACCCCAACCCCATGAAATGCACTTAGGGTGTACAAAAAGCCGCAACCCGTGAAACCCAATTCGCTAACAACCCAATTAAATCCAACTTACAAAACCACCAACCCGCCAAACCACTAATTAGGAGGATTGAAATTGGGTTAGCCTAGCTTAACCCGGGCCAAACTGCCAACCTACTGCTATTACAAAATATTTTAATAACTTATATGTATATATGTATAATATACTAATATATTTTACATATGAATCTCCTTGAATTTACAGCCCAAAAAAATATACATATATAATATATTAGTCATGTAGTCCAATTTAAAGCCCAAGAACCAAAATTAATCTGATTAGTGAACTAGATCATGACCCAACTTGTTGATCGTTGGCTACTAATTTTCTTCTATCTGACTCTAGGATCAATCGTTTGCTTCCGTTTGCTTATCGATCTCTGCTAATGTTTGCTTCTATTTGCTGACTTGATACTGCTACCCTTGTTTTCCTGCTGCTAACCTGTTATATGCATGATTTTCTTGCTTGTTTAGTTGTTGCTCGATTTGTCACATTCCTATCGTGTAATCTATTTAAGATTCTTCATTTTGTCAATGATACAACACTCAGAGGCTGAGCTTCTGTATTATGTTCCAATGATCGATATGATTCCACTAGAAGAAATTAAGAAAATGGAGTTTACAGCCTTAGTACCATTCCTGTAAACAACAAAATTCTACTTTTACTTGTTGCTCTCGAGTTGTTTGGGATCACTTTTCTAGAAAAGAAATCTAGATGTGTTTGTAATTATTGTAGAAAATATTACGCTTATCATAGTAAGAAAAATGGTGCAAGTACTATGTGTTAAAAAAATCAATGTAAGAAGTATGCGGATAGGGTGTGCGATAAAAAAACAAAAGTTTCTGATGTTGAGGTGTCATATGATAAGGAGAAATGGCAAAAGCCCGTGGCTAAGTTTGTGGTGAAATATGAACAACCATTTAGTGTTGTCGAGGGTGAAGGATTTAGAGAACTTGTTAGGGAGTTGCAACCTAAATTCGGTGTTCCTAGTAGGGTGACTATTGCCAAAGATATCCATAAGTTGTTTTGTGCGGAGATGATTAAATTGAAGAAAGCGTTAACAAAGGTCGGACAAAGAGTATGCTCAACAACTAATCTTCCACACAAATTTCTTATATGTGTCTCACCATACATTACATTAATAGTGATTGGTGTTTACACTAAAGAATCATAATTTTTTGCCAAACTGCAAATCATAAAGGTGAGACGATTGGTAAGGTTATTGAAACTTGTTTGCTTGGGTGGGGGATTGAAAATGTTTTTTACTATTACTGTTGATAATGCATCAGCAAATGATGTGGTTGTCGCTTTTGTAAAAAAGAAGGGTTAATGCATGGAGTGGATCTGTTCTCGATGGTAAGTACATGCATTTAAGGTGAGGTGCTTATATAGTAAGCCTAATTGTAAACGATGGATTGAAAGAGACACCTTACTCAATTAGCACAATTCTTAATTGTGTTAGATATATTTGTTCATCTCCTTCAAGGTTGCAAAAGTTTAAAGCTTGCGTTGAGAAGGAAAAAATTGAATACAAGGGGTGGTTAGCTTTAGATGTGCCTACACGTTGGAGTCAACTTTTATGATGTTGGATGTAGCTCTTAAATTTGAAAAGGCATTTGAAAGGTATGCGGATGATGATGACAAGTTTTTGAGTTACTTTGAGGAGAAAGAAAATGGGGAGAAAATGATTGGACCACCAAGTTCTAGTGACTGGGAGTGTGCTTCTGTTTTTGTCAAAATTTTGTCCACTTTTTACGAAGTTACTCTCAAGTTTAGTGGCACATTGCATATAAATTCTAACAAGTTCTTTCATGAGCTTTGTCATATTGATTGTCAATTGAGTTACTTGGCTCGTAACAATGATCCATTTTTATCCAAAATGGCTAATAATATAAAAAGTAAGTATGACAAATGGGGTTATCCAAATCACATCAATCCCATGTTGTTTTTAGCGGTTGTGCTAGATCCGAGGTATAAGTTGAAGTATTTGAAGTTTTCCTTTGACTCTTTATATGATACTCAAACTGTTGTTAAACTTGTTGTCAAGGTGGAACAAATCCTTCATCGGTTGTATAATCATTATTCAAAAGGTGGAAAATTTGGTGAGGAGGTTAGTTTTATGCATTTTTTTAAAATTTTATTATGCATTTTAATATGTTATTGTTTGTTGACTTTATGTTTGTATTCTTTGGATATATGTATAAGGGGCCCTTTACCAAACGCTTACCCGGGTAAGCGTTTACCAAGTAATATTACCTCACAGGATAAATATAGTAAGAACCAAAAATCATGCCCAGTAAGAACGAGACAATGATCAAGAGTCTTACCCGATAAGTGAGGACGACGACTCTTACCACGGTAAGCGCTTACCGGGTAAATTGTTGTATGCTATGTCGTTTTGGTGAACTAAAATCTTACTCGGTAAGCACATAATAGTGTTAAATTTTACCGGTAAGCACTTACTAGGTAAGTGTTTGATAAACGGCTCCTAAGGTACCAAAATAGATTTTCCACCAAAGAATGATGGTGAGGAATCTCATAGGAGAAAATTATTGGAATTTTTTTTACAACAACAAAGGGATATTCCCGAGAACATAAATGACATTGATAGATATTTGATTGATGAATCCATCAATCCAAAGACTCCTTTTGATATTCAAATTTGGTGGAAAAATAATTTTAATAAGTATAACATTTTATCAATGACAGCTAGAGATGTTCTTGTTATACATATATCCACTGTTGCATTTGAATCCGTCTTTAGTACTAGCGAACGTATTTTGGACTCAATTAGAAATTCTTTGAGTCCAAAAATGATGAAGGCCCTTGTATGCACACAAAGTTGGTTGAAACACAATCATGAAGAGATCCAAATAAATGTATATTTGGATGAAATAAGATAGCGATGGGGGAAGTAGGTGGTGACGGTGGCAACAACAACAATCTATCTTTTTAAATTTCCTAAATGATTAAAATATTATTGTAAGATTTGGATTATTGCTCATTTTCTATTTTTTAAACCATTTTTTTTGTTTTTTTTTACTTATTTAACTATTTAAAAAATAGTTTTGAGACGGTGATATGTAATAGTTTCTAATGGGAATTCTAATATTGTCCTTTCGAATATTCCAAAAAACATAATCTTAATGGGCCCAGATTACGTTGCCCATTTGTGAAAATGTGAGATAATGAGGGTAAAATGAGCATATAATCAAAAGTCAAGGGGTCCACTAAACAAATCTTTTATATTTAAGTATACTCCACCCCACCCCCGACCCGCTCATATCGGGCATGTCCAGGCTCCAGCTAATTTCCACGTGAATAATTAATGCATAACACTATTAAAGTATGTTTATTATTTTTTAATTATATATTTAAATAAATATTTTTCAGAAATATATTTCATTAGAAATCTAAAACTGATTAGAAATACGAAACTATTAATATCACAACACATAGAATATTTATCAGA